CCTTTTAAGACTTTAATCACTCTTTTGATACATACACATATATGAATACGTGCATATATGTGCATCTAATTTTTCATTTCCATGTTGTTTTATATAGGATTCATCTCTGGGTTTCCCTAAGGACTCATTTTATGTCTCACTTTTCTTATTAAAATATTTATGCAAAAACATATAAGTGAAATCATCTGCCTTGCTCAAGGTAGTAATTGCAGTGTTCTCTGACAGTTATCATGATGTGTGTGTGTGTGTGTGTGTGTGTGTGTGTGTGTGTTCCCATTCATCACGTTGGCTTAATTTCTTAATTTCATTTCTACCCTACTAAATTGTCATATCCCTCAATATTAATAATCTTCAAGAATATATTTGCTTAGGATAACTAACCTGTCTTCAACCCTGACAGTGTGTTTGGGATAGCCACCACTAACTAATCATTCCCTACTTCTTTCCCAGAACCAGCTGAAACAGACTATGTACATACCACTACCAAATCATCTCCCAGGCCTGGGGAGCCAAAGACTGACAGTGGTAAAGGTTTTCACGCTTCAATTGACATATCCAGCACATTTGTGATTAGCATTTGTCACATCAGGAAACATGAACGTTTAAGCTCTGCAGTTTGATTAGACAGACTTAAAGGCCCATTGCTTCCAATGTTCTTGGGTTATCAAAGAAAGTTAAGGTGATCATTGACTCTCTGAATGCAGAAACAAATTCATTTCTCTGTTGGTATCTAAATATTGAGTCATAATAACATTTGGAAGTCAGTTATAACATGAAATTAATTGGAAAATTAGCATCCTAAAATAGTTTTCTTCCTGTTTTTTAACCTGTCTAGATCCATCATTCCACTGAAATGATGATATACATTGTTGAGAATGAAATGTGTTGATATTCAAGAATACTTGATATAACTTGATATCCAATAGTTTTTTAAATTGTTCTCCTTTGTTTTGATCCAGTTGTGGAATCTATTACCTATGTGTCTGAACCTCCTGAGACCATGCTAGGTAATGATAAACTCTGAAGTCCAACCTGTATGTTTTCTGGCCTCATTGCTCCATCCATCATCTGAAAGGCTCAGAGCCTCTCTCATTGTCGATCCATATTGCACACTAGCTTTGTCATATGATTCATTTTCATTTTAAGTGCTTCTATTCATAATCATTGTCCAACTACATCTCTTCTCCTTTATGTCCAGATCTTGGTCTTTTTTGTACTTTTACCAGGCAGAGTGTTGAATCAAATGTATCTTTCATCCTATTTTTGAATGTTCTGGCAAGTTGAATGTCTGTTGAATATTACAAAAAATATTTTATTGTAATTGTGATTCATTTCTACATTCTGATCAAGCAAAAAATATGTTCCACTAACACTCAGATAATTTTATTTATATATCTCGTTCTTTTTTCTCTACCATTTACCAAAATTCTATGCTTCTTAACTGGATGGTGGTGTATTGTTTAAATTACTCTTTACCTCCCTGCTTCCTACTAAATGTATTTTCTAGAATTGTTGAGGAGGGAGGATTCTAGTATATCGTGAAGACTTTATGTCAAAATTATTTTCAAATTTGGGATCTTGGGATTTTTTAAAAAGTGAATCATAAAAATGTAGAAATGTTGTTTTGCTGCAAATTTACATTTATCTTTATTTTATGTATTTTTTGCCGTTCTGTCTATTATTTGTAATCAGGGTGTGCCAGCACTGTAGTAACCCCACATACTTTCCTTCAACTATCAAAGAACCTCCTTTGCCTTCCCATACTATAATTCTACCCAGTCCAGATGGGCTCAGACCAAACCTGGTAAATACACTATTTTGTATTTCATTCATGAGGTAAGTGTTTGCAGAGTAATAATATGAGCTCTTCTGGACATCTGTAGCCCTGGTTTCATTCATTGCCCTCAGTGTTTGCTGGGTCAGCCTGTCTCTCTGATGTAGCACCATCTGTCTTCAATAATCTCTCAAATGGTAATGTTGTCTATCCTCTTCAGTATGATGCTGAAAAACACCTCTCAGCTACTCTGGAAGTGTTTTGTTAAAAGCAAAATAGGCACAGAGGTGGATGCAGTGGCTCTCACCTGACATCTTAGTTACTTTGGAAACTGGGATCAGAAGTACTGTGGTTAGAAACTAGCTTGGGCAAAAAGTGCATACGAGGCCACCTCAACCAATTTAACCCACGTGAGTGTAGTGGTATGCACCTATATCCAGCTATGGGGAAATGTGAATAGGAGGAGGGTCACAGTACAGGCCAGCTTAGACAAGAAAATCAAGACCTTATTTTTTAATAGCAATTTTTTATTGTGATTAAGTGATTACATAAATTTCACAGTACTGTGGGATAGTGACACTTAGTTTAAGTCACTAACACATTCTAACCTTCATGGGGCAAATTGCCTTTATCATGATCTATAAAGTTTATGTGTTCTATGAGCTTTGACAATACAGTTATTTCTTCCACATGGAGTGATACAGACATTTCTTTCCTTTGCTTAGTGTCAGCTGTTCCCTCTTCCCCACTCATTCTCTCCCTCCCATCGCTGGCATTGAGTTGCTTAGTTGGTTTTGATCAATGACCAGTGCAGCTGATGGGTCCTGCTGTTGTATGTTTTCCCATTTCCCTCTGTTTCTGTGTGCTCCTCCTAGTTTCCCTCTGATGTGCACATATATACCATATATGTGGTCAGCAGCATGGGGTCATTTAGTAATGATTCAACCAGATGAGTGGAGGTCCTTTGTTTCTCAAGTCAAGACCTTATTTTTAAAAATAGGGAAAGCAAGGAGGACTCAGATGAGGTTCAACAGTAGAGCACCTACTTAGCAAACACAAGGTCCTGAGTCCTAACTAGCTCTGCCAAACTAAAAGGCAAAAAGAGAAAGAAAGGAAAAAAAGGGAGAGACAGAGAGAGAAAAAGGAAATAGAAATGTTTCTGAGGGCATTTCTACTTTGTGTGTGTGTGTGTATCTATATGTGTGTGCATGGAAGTACATATGTGTGAATATATCCTAATTTTAACTACTGGTTAACTACTAGATAGTTTTATAATTTCTATGGACATGTAAAAAAGTATTTTAGGGTATTCAATTTGTGGTTAAAATTTCTATAAGACTCTAGACTCAGATTTCACTGTATAATCATATAACGTGTGTAACTGACGGTCCCCTGCCATCTTTCACCCATCTTACTTCTTTCTGCTTCTTCCTGCTGTGGCCTGCATGTCACCCCATATATGTGAGAAAAAACTAAACCAAATCATTAACTTTAGTGATCATAGAGATCGACTTGATTAAAATCACCATGTATTAATATATATATATATATAAATCCCATGTAGATAACTAAATGTGCCTCTTCTGATGAAAAATAATCTCAATGTGCACAGCTTCCACAACATAGAAACTGATCACAATGAAGCCCAAACTTCTATTCTGATTGCCGTTAAACTATTTTTATGTGTTTATGTTTCTGAGAGAATTGGGGAGGGTATTCATTTTACTATTCATTATACTCTGAAACAATCGCTTAAGAGCTACCTATAAACTCTGTGGTTATTTTTTCCAAAATTCTACATTGCCTACATGAATGGAATAGAAGATCAGTCCCCCCTAACTTTCCTATTTAATTGTAAACACACTGCTACCAGTGAGGTGTTATTTGTTTCTGAAATAGTCTTGGTATATAGCCCTAGGCTGGCCTTGAACTCTTGATCCCCCTGCCTCAAACTTCCTAGATCCGGAAGCACAGGTTTTAGCCACTGTACTTAGCCTCCCACCAATGGGTCTTCCTGTGTGTCAATTTTTTTTGTTGTTGTGGAATTACCTCATAGTATTTCTTTGTGTCACATGGTGTGACCTAGATAAGCAAACAGAACATCATTTGGAAACCTCACAAACAAGGGGGTTGAGAATTAAAGAAGCACAGTGAGATACTCAAAGGATGGAATTTTGGAATTTTATAAAAGCGTCTTTAAAATCATGTAACTTTTGATGAAAAACCTGTTTATAGACCACGATTAATAAGCAAAGGAACCTCTGAAATGTTTTGCTGTTTATCTCTCTATAGGCAAGAAGATTCCTCTTTAACCACTATATATCATACAGATTTTATTTAGGTCCAGGAAGAAGCCACCACACATTTCACTCAGAAACTTGGGTCTAACAGCTCTTGCTTTCAGCAATTTCTTCCTTAAGGTGTCTGAAACTAATGACATTGGACATGCTTTGTTTTAAATCAACATTCCACTATCTAATAACATTTTCAGCCAGCTTTCCTTAAGGTGTCTGACACTGCATAATGCGGGCACCATTTTCTTCCTTCTCAATTTTCTTTATCCAAAACACATTCTAGCTTAGCCCAGTGATTCTCACAAACTGAAACCTTGAATCTGATCATTCCTTTCCTTTGTCAGGGGTATACTTTTTCTTGGTAAAGAAATGATTCTTTTTCACAAAGAATGTTCTGGAATTTTTTTAGGGCTAGCCCAGCAAAAGAGTAACTCTTCAGAAGAAAGTATCTTTGATGTTGAATTTTTCTTCCCCGATATGACCAATAAATGTTGCATTTTGTACAAAAAGATTATTTTTTCCATTAGGACTTTCTAGTAAAATATGTTTCACATTTGGGATATAACTGTGGTTTTGTTTTCTATTTAGGAAAAAAAAGTACATATTCAAAATAGTACCTGATGAAATAATATGAACTTGTTATAAGAATGAACTGTTGTTACTAGGAAATTTGTTTTCAATGCATTTAAAGAGAATTGGAAGTAGATATTTCTGAAATTCCAATGGTTCCTCCAATATTCCAGCTGAATAGCTTGGATGTTGTTTAACGTGCATTTTGTTTTGTTTTCTGCATAAATAAATTGTCTCCCTCTACTTTGTAAGATCTTTGGAGCGTTAATAGCAGTTGGCTGCGTTTTGGGGCTTTGTTCTCTCAACAAACATCTTTGACCTTCGATGGGCTCCAGAGTTCCAACCCCATGTCTCTCTTTTAGCTCCCAGGCAGACACCCCATGTGCCACCCCAGCCCCAAACACCACAGCGCCCAAGATTTCCACAAACACAACCAGGTAAATAAGTATTTGATGATTTAACCTTAAAATTTTTAAGTTGATGCTGTTTTTCTGTGATTTATAGCGGTTGTATTTTAACCCTCTTAAAACATATCTTTGCCGGGCGCCAGTGGCTCACGCCTCTAATCCTAGCTACTCAGGAGGCTGAGATCTGAGGATCGCGGTTCAAAGCCAGCCCGGCGCAGGAGAGACTGCGAGACTCGTATCTCCAATAAACCACCAGAAAACTGGAAATGGCGTTGTAGCTCAAGTGGTAGAGCGCTGGCCTTGAGCTGATAGAGCTGAGGGAACAGCACTCAGGCCCAGAGTTCAAGCCCCACCAACAAAAACAAACAAAATGTCCTGTTTGGTATCCTAAAAAAATTAGGTTTATTTTTAGGCCTGATCAAAAAGCTTATCAGTGGAGGAACTGATTCCACAAGAATGTTGCTAATGTTATATTATTTAAGGAGGGATAGTTAAGAAGGGCATTTCTTACACAAAGTAACCTGCCTACTCCCTTTTCCTGTTCTAGTTTGAGACTTTCCTCTGCCCTTTCCCTATCCGGAATGTTTTTCACCTTCCAATCACCTAATTGAAATGGCCACTATTATTTGGTCTTCTCACAAAGAATATCTGATGTGGACCAGCCCACTACACTAGGAGTCAAACATTCACTAATATAATAAGCTGGGAAAGGAACATATTTAGCAACAATAAAATTAACTTGGATCCAGATATTTGGACTCCTGTTGTCAATGCTGAATTTCTATACAGGCATCAGAAAACTATATTCATTGGTATGGTCTCTAATATCTAATACTGATAGAAAAAAAAAACTTTTTCTCTGTGTGTCAGTTGTGGATCTTGAACTCTGGGCCTGAGCACTGTCCCTTAGCTCTTCAGCTCAAAGCTCCACACTCTACCATTTGAGCCACAGTGCTACTTCTGGTTTTCTGGTGATTTATTGGAGATAAGAGTCTCATGGACTTTCCTGATGGGGCTGGCTTTGAACCGCAATCCTCAGATCTCAGCCTCTTGAGTAGCGAGGAGATAATGAGAGAAATTTGTATGTGTGTATGTGCTCATCCCTGGGTTTTATCTTAGGAGTCTGGATGCTGTCTTGGCATTTCTTGCTCAAAGTCAGTATTCTGTCACTTGAGCCAGGGCTCCACTTCTGACTTTCTGGTAGTTAATTGGAGATACATCCCATAAACATTCCTGCAAAGGCTGGCTTTATATTGTGATCCTCAGATGTCAGCCTTCTGAGTAACTAGACATGAGCCACCAACACCCAACTGAGAAATTTCATTTATCAATAATTTTTTCTTTAAAGAAAGATTCATTAAAAGACTATTCTATGTCCCATATGTACCTAAATATGAAAAATTTTCTCATTTCATGTATTTTTATGTTTAAATTAATAGCTATCTTTACCATGAAAATATTTCCTGAGCGGGGCGCTGGTGGCTCACGCCTGTAATCCTAGGTACTCAGGAGGCTGAGATCTGAGGATCGCGGTTCAAAGCCAGCCCGGGCAGGAAAGACCGTGAGACTCCTACCTCCAATAAACCAACAGAAAACCGGAATTGGCGCTGTAGCTCAAGTGGTAGAGCGCTCCCCTTGAGCTGAAGAGCTGAGGGACAGCGCCCAGGCCCAGAGTTCAAGCCCCATGACCGACAAAAAAAAAAAAAGATATAAAACAGTTATGTGAAAATGATTATTGATTTTGTAATAAATAAAATAAAATAGGAATAAAAACACACCAAAATCTTAAACAATCAAGGCATTAGATGTACAACCCAAATATATTATGTTTGTTAATAGGAAACTTAAAATCTAACTTTAGAAATGTATAGATTAAAAAATCACGTGAGAAGACTCTCTCAAACTTCTGTTTGAATATACAGCATAGACTAAGGAATTTTTTAAAGTCATGAAATGTTGATAACTATTGCAATATAAGAGAAAAGATCAAAAAGTCTAAGATTTTAAAGATGAAAATCCTAGGAGTTAAGACATTTAGACTATAATTCTTTGTTATTAGTAAATAAATAAATGCAACACCATTTTCCATCTAATTTTTTTCTAAGAATGATATTGTGCATTTAAGAATTATTTTAACTTTAAATATCTTTACAAATTAAGTGAAAAAATTCAAATCTATGTTTGACAGAGTAGGGGAAAACAGGATCCAAATTTTGAAACAAATCAAGAATATTTTACATCAATAAATGTTTGATTTTTAAATTCCTGAGTTCACAAGTAATAACGATCTTCTCTTTAATTTTCTATTTAGACAGCTTATAACTATAGTGGATGTAGTAAAGAATATTAAATCATGATATTCTCAGATTCTTCAAATTTGTAAATACCCTGGTGAAATGGAAGAAATGCATACAGTGAACCAGCATTCCTGTGCATTGTCTGTGTAGCTTTCTGTTGTTGGTGACATGATTTTAAATTTCACGTGCTTCAGGAGATTCTACTCTGACTCTGCCAACTTTGTCTGCTTTACTATCCATCAAAGACATGAGAATGCGTTTAAGGAGAAGTCAAGTAAATATATCCAGAAAATAAAATCACTCTTGCATTAATTTAAAGGCTGTCTTATCCTAAATGAAAATTTTGAGAATTTTTTATCCTATTCTGATGCTTCATCAAATATGGTAATGTCTTATGTTTCATTTTCCTAATGTGAAAGAATTTTCATCAGATTTCTAACTGCTCTGTTTCTAGAGCCTTTAACCAGAACCCCTTTTGAACTTCATTATCAACAGTACTTTTTATCAGTGTTCAAGTTTATTCATTGCCATACCTTCAGTGGTCAGCATGACAGAGCTACCAAAACCAAATGACTCATGATCTGAGTTCTCTCTTTCAGTTCCTAAAGCGTCCCAGAGAGCTACTTCAAAACCAAAAATGCCATCCAGTCCGGAAGTGTCATACACCACACCTGGTAAATGCTTTACTTCCTCTCTAAGTCATATGCATTCCACTGTTCCACTAAGTTGCAGCGAAGCAAGACAGTGAAGCCATTTCTTAGAGCTGCAATGGCTTAAGTATTACGAGTCCTATTTCTTTTTTTAAAATATTTCTGTTTCCACTCTTTCATCTATGGTAGGATGTCTGCTGTGGCAGTTTAGTAAATCATCACTTCCCAGCTAAAAAGAAAAGTGCCAATTTTAGCATCTGTTCTCCACATTACTCTGGTGTACATTTCTCCATAAGCACAAATAGTAGCAAGTAATGTACGTACAGCATGATGAATTAATTAGCAGAATGCCTTCAGTCAACGTTTTCTTTCTTAATCCCAGCATTTGTTTGTATAGTCTAGTGCTATAATCAGTGAGAGCATTTGTAAACTACAGAATTCTTTGTTTGTTCATGGACCTTTGCAGAGCTAAAAGCAAAGTCTCCTCTCCTTCAACCTTTCAGGTAAACATTTAGTTTGCTTTACAATTGGAAATTGCTCATAATTTTACCACTTGACTCCCTGCACAAGATAGGTGATATGTTCAGTATTGTAGCTTTTCTTTAGCTCCTTAAACTGCTGATCGTTTTGAAATTTCATGACTTTTTTAAGTCTACACTTTCAAATTTCCCTAGATTGTTAGTATTTAGCTCATAAAAATTATAGCTGAGTCATTTCTATTCCATTCCAAATTCCACAACTGTAATTTAGTTGTTATTTAGTTACTTGGTGACCCACATTAAAAACAGATATGGTATGAAAGTTATATTATCCCCCAAAACAATAAAAAGAGAATGTCTATTTTTATAGAACTTTTTCCCACACTAATGGCAAAGTGATTATTGGCTAGCTCATGATGGAGAATTTTTCTTCACCACCCTTCTGAGATAGAATTCTATATGATTACTAATTTTTTCTAGCATTGTGTAAATGCAAGAAAACCATTTTAATGTATTCAGTGTAGTAGAAAACCCTTTCAGTGAAAAAGTAGGCCTGGGGATGTCTTCCCTATGAGGGAATTGAGTCAAAGACACACTTTAAACTGCTCTTAGGGTGAGATTTGGAAAAAAGACCTAGTGAGAACAATAAGAAATTGTCCTGGTGCTTTTCCCAATAAGAAATATTGTTATCTCTAGTGCCAATAGTTTATGACTATAATCCTGTCTACTCAAGAGGCTGAAATCTGAAGATCACAGTTCGAAGCTAGCCTGGACAGGAAAGTCTGTGAGATTCTGATCTCCAGTTAGCTACCAAAGAAGCTGGATGCTCAAGTGGTAGAGTGCTAGCCTTAAGCAAACAAGCTCAAGGACAGCGTCCAGAGTTCAAGCCTCAGGACTGGTGAAAGAAATAATGTTATCGAGTTTCCACTCTATGTGTAGAAAAAGAAAGTATCATTAAAACATTCTAAGTATCAAAAACTAAATATAAGCTAATCTATTGTTTAGGTAAGCATTTTTGTCTTTTCTCATATTCTCATATGACAAGAACCCATGACCTCTGATATATTGAAAGCTACATCATTATAGACAAAATGGCAACTGGTGGCATTTGTATAACATGTACAATGTGAGAAGTGCCAGCATAAACTTTACATGTGGTATCTTGTGATGACTGGCCATCCTTTTTTGCTTTATATTTTTTCCTAAAAAAGCTGCTAGTGCCATTTGGAATAAAACTGTCCTCCTCTTATTTATTCAAGATGTTTTTCTTTCTTTCTGCTGTTTTCATCCATTTGTAAGCCTTTTATGCACATTAAGTAAGGTAATATTTTTATTGTGATCAGTAGATATTAGCTTAAGCATTAAAATGGTAGCTAACCACATTGAGCAAAAACTGATTTTATTTTCGTAAGCCACCTGAGAAAAACCTGTCTGCTGTGTTTAATTAAATTAGACCTTTCTTCTTTTTTCCCCTTCAAGGAGACTTCAAAAGTGAACTATGACCAACTTTGTATCTGTCTACTGTCACAGACCTTTCTTTACACAGTGATATTTTTTCATTTTGAATGAAAGATGATCCTTCTCATCTTCAGTCTTTAACTAATGTGGAAATAACTTTGCTTTCTTCATGCTTTCTGAGATTGTGTATCTGGATTAAGTTCACTCCAAGTGTGACATTTAGAGAATCTTATCATCCTTATCTTTCAGTTGCAAAAGATGTGTTCCTTCCCCAGAAACCAGACCTTGAGGTCTCTCAGAGTGAACCTGGTAAATAAATAATTTTATTTTCACAGTTATAAAGTATAAAAATATTCTTGTGGTAAGTATATTTTAATGGCTGTGGTATGGAAGAGGCCAGAAAATATCATGGATATAAAGTGTAAGTCAGTGGAAGAAATTTAATCATATAATCTGAACTTTTATGATTTTATTATAATCTGGTTGAAGTTTACCTTGGCATATAATAGGATTATTGACTAGGATATTATGCTAAAATTATGAAACACTTACTGAGAGAACTGTTTTATATCCTTTCAAAAGATAAATATACCAACTCTACAACTATTAGTGAACTTTTAAGAAAATAATGGATGCCTTCCCATAAGTTTTCCTCAAAATGATAGTGATGAGATTTCTAAAGTTTTAATTAAATTACTTCCCTGAGTGGTATCTGTTATGCAGGATTGTTTCCTATTTATTGTGGTTCTTAGAGAATGTTTAGGTGGTTAAATAAATGTATCTAGAAAATACAGAAACTATTTTCATTTCTCTGGTAATCTCACAATATATTTATTTGCTTTGCTTTTGGCATAGTTCTGCAACCTGTTACCTTTAGAATTGAGCCGCCAAAGACAACAATAGGTAATTGACCTCCCATACTGACCAATTCTAATTATTTCCTTGGTAACCAGCAATATTGCAGGTCTTTTTCAAATATTAATGGTTGAAACATTACCTCTTCTCAATTCATTTAGTCATTCCAGCCTCTCTCTAATTGATCTTACACAAATAGAAATCCAAGCCACAGCTTCACCACCATGAAAGTTTTGCTCTGAAGACTGAGTTACAGAGTGCACCCTCAGCTACCTCATTCATCTTCATGATTCCATCTAACCCAATGCCCATCTAGTTAACAATTCATGTTGACTTAGTGGTTCTCAGCTGTAACGTTACAACACACCAGCCTATAATGAGCTCACCATGTGCTACAAGAAATTAATATTGATCAAAACATGGACTGAATATTGCCAGCAATTTACTTGTGAAATTAATCTGGAACAGACTAAAAAAATATCCTAACAAATTTGCAGTCCTCTGTGCTCTCTTTGGTGGGAGATAAAGAGAGAAGAGTTATAACTCATAGATCAGGATTAGGACTTAACCCACACCTTATCTTGATCAGGCATTCTCATGGTGCTGTGTCAAAGCACAGGTGAGAACCATTATCCTAATGTTCCATGGTCTTTTTTTCTTGAAGGTTCAGTGCACGTTTAACTTTCTTCTTCATCGCTCACCTAATTTTCTTTTCTACTTCTATTTTCTGTTTCTGGCTTTAATTGGAAAGTTTATAATCTGGCTATTCTTCTTTTGCAGCTCCTTTAGAGACACGAGGCATTCCCTTTGTACCTATCATTTCACCAAGCCCTTTTCAAGAGGAGCTGCAAACTACACAGGGTAAATTCTGTTTTGATATATCAATCCAATGAGGGACCTTCCTTTTAAAGATTGCCCTTAAAGAGGTTCTAAGTACATTATGTTCAAGTGGGGTTTTTTATGACTAGAAGGTCTGTTACACAAAAGTACCCACTTTTTAGAAACTTTTGCATTCTGCATCTTTGTCCTTCTACCATATATGATGATTTTCCATATGCAACTTTGTAAGATCAAAAAAATTTTCAGTCCTCAGTTATCTATAGACACATCTGTGTTGCATCTGTGGATTCAAGCAAAATTAAATTAAAAAATTTTTTTAGAAAAGGAATATAAGCTATAGAATTTTCTCATCATTATTCACTAGGAAATGTAGTTATCAACTACTTACAAAGTATTTATAATGTATTGGTTATTGCAAGTAATCTAGGGATGACTAATCTTCTCAGAATGTAGGTTACAGGACGAAACAAGGATGGCTGTATTAGAAAGGCCTATTGGTATGAGCTAGGCTTGCTTTGGATGAGTTCACTATAAACATGTTTACCTCAGAGGAAGCCTCAGTTTGCTGAGTTATGGCTGAAAAATGAACCAGAGGCTTTGTGCTTGTTGGTCCATTTGTCACATCCTCTCTGAGGCCTACAGGACTACGTTTTGATCAGTGGCATATCTTTTCCAGCCAATGCACATAATTTATGGAATTTGTGGAGTAGGGAGGAAATAGGATGACCAATACATTCACTTGAAAGATTTTCATACACAAGCTACATCCAAGGATAGCCACATCACAAAACCATGATCCTGAGCTAAAAGCTTTTGGAAATTCATCCAAGAGTCATTAAATAAGATTAAAATAAGATAGCACATATAATAAACAAAAGTGATTAAAATGTACCATTGAGCTGGATGTCAGTGGCTCATATTTGTAATCCTAGCTACTGAGGAGGCTGAGATCTGAGGACTGCGGTTCAAAGCCAACCTCTACATGAAAGTCCATAAAATTCTTATGTAATTAAACATCCCACCAAAAGCCAGAAGTGGAACTATAACTCAAGTGGTAGAGCACTAACCCTGAGAAAAAAGTGTCATGGGCAGTGCCCAGGCCCAGAGTTCAAGTTCAAGGACCAGTCCCAAACTGCCCCCTCCAAAAAATAGTACCATTAACTTTGAATTGTGATTATGGGACATATTTATAAATGTAGTATATCCTATTTTATGGAGCAAAAAGAGCACGAATAATTATTTCTCATTTTAAGTTTTTACTTTCTGTAATATCTGTAATGATAGTTATTTAAAACAAGACGTCTTGCTATGTTTTTCCCCAGAAGAAACAGACCAATTCACCCAAGAACTCTTCACAACTAAGATTCCACGAACAACTGAACTGGCAAAGACAACTCAGGGTAATACTACTTCCCCATCTCTAGTAATTGTTCCTTAGTTCTTTTTTCCCAGTCAAGACACAACTTTTGTTTTTAGGGTTTTTTTTTGTTGTTTGTTTGTTTGTCACAGCAAATCACTAGATGGTTTTTATTTTAAAGGTGAAGGATATTGGCCAAATCTGAACTGTTCTATTTTATCCATTAACAGTGGTACCCAGTTCTTTAGTTGGAGCTTTGCTTCTGAATGTAGTATAAACTGTTGGATATTGACAACTAATATGTTTAACTTTCACATGCCTCATTTCCACATCTGATAGCCAGGAAAGAACTATTAACGTCTCCCCTCCTCTTCCTCCTTCCTTCCCTTCTTTCTCCCTTCCCCCTCCTCCATCCTTCTTTGTCTCCCATCCCCTACCTGATATTTTGAACTGATATTGGAGCTTGTTTATTAGTTTGTTAGGTAAAACATTGCTAATTTATAATGAGCTAAAGATCCACTTAGCATATGTAAAAAAAAAATCATCAAAATGATGGAACCTACACACATAGTTTCCAAGAAAATTTTCCCAGTGTTAGCTAATATATTACAAGAAAGTTGGTATTAGAAGGCAGCATGGGGTATGCAGGGAGAAGTACACATGCACAGTGGTAGATGGACAAATTCCAGAATGAATGCATGCTTTAAAACTTTAGAAAATAAAAATGTTTCTGTATCATCTCACAAATGTGCCACTTACAATGATCATTTATTTATCTATTCAGCCATTTATATGTAGGCTTTGGATAGCAGGAACAGAGTTAGGAGTTGCCTTGTGAATCTTAGAATCCTCTATCCATGCTTATTTTTGCTTGATGGGTGGTGAAGAAAGCATTCTTTTCACTCACTCCTACATCCAACATTATGAAAGGCATTGAATATTTGTTCATTTCAGAGTTTGTGAGCAAAGGCAATTTGATATTGACCATGCTTTTTTTTAGGGGGGAGGGTGTTCCTATCTATCAAAATGTTCATTCTTTTCTTTTTGTCTTTACAGTTACTTGTCTTTGGCAAAATAGTGTTCCGCAAGGACTCATTATTGAGATATGTGGGTGAGAGAGTGGGTGTGGAGATGGGTGCATGGATGGACAAATGATGGATGAATGGACTACTTGTTTATCATGTCACCCAACTATCTGGTAAAGTTAATACTCTTGAAAACCATGGACTAAATGATGTTCTTAATACATCACAAATGAGCGACCTCACTCAACCTGTGTCTTTTACTTCATTCGTGAATATTTTTACTTCTCATATATTCTTTTAGCATGAAGTATATAATACTTAATTGGAGACTTCCTAACATTTTGTCATTTCCCATGCCAGGTGAACCAGCTATGGGTGGCTCCTTAGGTGATAAATCTCCATTCAATGGGCTTTAAAAATTAGTTACTAAATATTAAGTATTCCTTCTATTTCAGCACCACACCGATTATATAGTATTCCCGGGAGGCCAAGGATACCTGACAAACCACACATCAGACCTGGTAAACTCTTTCTCTGATCACATAAGTAGCATGCTAGGATAGCTATGAAATGGATTTAAACAGCCAGATTTGTCAAAGGTGGTGATGGTATGTGGAGGGGTAATGTATCCCTAAGCTACACAAAAGGATATGCAGAAATTCTGTCCTTGTAGATTAATCATTAATTAATCCTCTATTAATTGATTAATGGAAGAGATAGAACTTGACAGAAATTTTCATGATGTTCAGATTCAGAGACAACTCTGGAGCTTTATTAATACAAAACTCTTCTTAAATGGTATTTATGCATAAATCACATAAACCTTCAATTTTTTTACAATAATTTCAAATGTTATTTCTCATTTCAATTTTTTTTATATTTTTATTTTTTTATTGTGAAAATACTGTACAGAGAAGTTACAATTACATGGGCAAGATAATGAGTGCATTTCTTATCAAGCATTGTAGCCTCCTCCTTTGTTTCCCCTTCCCATCCCTTCCCATCCTCCCCCTTTCCCCCCCCACCCAATCCTCCTCCACCCCCCACCAAAGTTGTAAAGTTCGTTTTTCCACATAATGACTTGTACATATCATTGTTGCAATGGGTCCACCTGTATCCCTATTTAAACGATTTGTTTTTTCCATTCCCCTCCACAAATTATACCAACCTCAAATACAGTGAAAGCAGGGGTTATACCATGGGGGAGGGACATACAAAGCAACAAAGAAATCATCTTATAAATGTGTTAGAAACAATCACCTGAAAGAAAAACAAATTTGAATACATATCTTAGAGTTCATTTCCCTAACATCAACTTATCTGACCTTTTCTGCTTGACTCAGACATATACTAGAAAATTTTTTTCTTCTCAGGGTAAGAAGGCTGTTTTACAAGAAAACATTTCCACTTGATTGCCTCAACTGATAAAAAAAATATTTACAGGTGGTAGATATAAAAAATAATGCTAACATTATACATATAATTTTATAAGTAGTTGAACAAAGAGATTTCAATTCCATAAGTCACATTATAAATACAGCCTGTTGATTAATGTCAGTTCTTTCATTGTTCTTCCACATTTCCCCTTCCCATCTCTACCCTCAAGTTATATAGTTCAATTTTAGCATATTGTACACTGAATATAAGGACTTCATTTGATCATCATTTGCTATCATCATATATTGAAAAATACTCTAGAGTTAGTAAATTATTTAAAAGGTCATCTGATCTTCCTTTGGGAAACTTCTTTAGGTAAAGATTACCTTGGAAGGGTTGATTTGGTCTATAGAAATTTCTCATATGCTAAAATACAAGTTGAACCAAAGGCTCTCAAATTTTCTGTCTTTTTTCAGTGTGATTCTAAGGTTTCTTCTTAGGCTTTTTTCAATGACAAAACTCACTTACAAAATATATTTATTGTCAATGTCACAATTAATTGCTGAGAAGTTGGTAGTCCTTTTGTAGTGTTCTCCAGGTACAGAGTTTTCATTATAATAGTCTTCCCTACATTCACTTTGAAGAACTGAACTGTGAAGAAACTTTTCAAATTATTTCCTGCTCCATAGAAAACCAAGCACTACCATAAATAACCTTGAGACATTTTGTTATAGAATGACCTTGGACCATGTACCTAATCACTCCTGACTTTTCTTCAGTTCTGCTGTGGAATGTATTTAAAGTTAACAAATGAAGCAAGATTGATATTTCCCCTGAGAACTGTAATTGTCTCTTACCTTTTTCAAGTAAATATTGAAGTATAATAACTACCTCAGTACAAATTTAGGTCACTAGTCCCACATTCAAGTCTGTTGTTTTTATACCAGAATATAATTTCTATATTCTAAATGATACTTTTGGTAGGCTAACTGCTATTATTTTACTGTCTACTTAAATGACTTCCAATTCTCTGAGAAACGTCACTTCCTTTGGCTGCAAAGTTTTCCTAAGAAATGTATGAACTATTTATTTCCTCTTATTGTAGTTCTGAATAGAACAACTACAAGACCAATTAGAATCAAACCCAGTGGGCTGCCCAGTGGGAATGGAGTCAAAACAGGTAATAACAACAAATTAATTCCTTTTTGATCCTGTCAAAATTATATGTTCATCAATTTGGGTAATTTTGTTGAATTCACATGGTAAGTTTTTTTTTTACTAGTTCTGGAAATTTTTGTGAAGTTGGCAATTAAATTTAGTACTCTTTCCGAAATCAAAACTTCAAAGAGCTTTAAAATCACTGGAAAATAACTTTTCACTTTCCTAAACCCAGTCCACGAAATCAACTTCCAAATACAATATTCCTTCTTAAAAGAAATCTTGATTAAATATAAACTAATGAATAACAATTTTTAAGTAGCTATTTTCTCTAACTGCAGCATACCTTCCATTTACAGGCTGGCCTTTAAGGTTGTAATTATTTGGTTTTCAAGTCATAAATTTGCACAAGTACTATCAGATTTTTCTTAAAGGATTGCATCTGATAGCAATCTAGAATGTGAAACTTAAACAACATGAAGAAGATTTAATCATCATAAAAACAATTCACCATAGTTACAGTCACACTAATGTTTGTAAACAATCCAGCTAAAATGAATGCCAGAGCCCTAATTTGAATAAGTCTATAGGAGTAGGCATCATTATTCATAATTAGAACATTGATTTGATGGACATTTAAGCACACAACTTCTCCATTCAATCATCTGTAGTAATTAAGATGCTTTAACATGAGACATCCTATAAATATTATAGTTGTATCAACATTGTACTCACATATGTAGAAATGGATGAAAAGTATAGTTTATTAAATGTATGCATAAAACATGTGATTTCTGCTGGATGCCGGTAGCTCACACTGTAATCCTAGCTACTCAGGAGGCTGAGATCTGAGGAGCATGGTTCAAAGCCAGCCTGGGCAGGAAAGTCCATGAGACTCTTATCTCCAATAAACCACTAGAAAACCAGAAGTGGTGCTGTGAATCAAACAGTAGAGTGGTTGCCTTGAGCTGAAGAGCACAGGGACAACACCCAGGCAACTGTCAAACAACTGACAAAAAAAACAAAACAACAACAAAAACATGTAATTTCTCAGACTGGCATAAACAAAATGACTAAAAGTAACATTTTTGAGATTCTTTTTTTATACATATTTATTGTAAAAATAGTGTACAAAGGGGTTACAGTTACATGAGTAAGGAAATGAGTAGATTTTCTATCAAGCAATGTTACCTCCTCCTTTGTTCTTCCCCTACCACCCCTTCCCTCCCCACCTCCACAACTCCTCCCTCCCTACCCCCCACAAGTTGCAAAGTTCCTTTCCAACATAGTGTCTTGAACATCTCATGGTTACAATGGTCAACCTGCATCCCTGTGTAAGCATTTTGTTTTTTCCCTTCTCCTCCCCAAATTAGAAAAGTGTATATACAAGATGCAGGGCACCGGAATCAAATAGGGAAAACAGGGGTTATACCACGGGAAAAGAACATACAAAAGAAACAAAAAAAATCACATAGTACATTATAAGTATGTTAAAAACAACAGCAAGAAAGAAAAAAACCACTTATGTCCCTGTCTTGGGGTTCATTTCACTTAACATCATCTTATATGGTCATATATACATAGCTTTTGACCTTTTCTTGTTCTAGACATATACTAGTTATTGCAAATAAGGGAAATCATGGGACCTATGTTTCTTTGGGCCTGGCTTACTTCACTTAATATAATTTTTTCCAAGTCTTTCCCATTTCCTAACAAATGGGGCAATGTCATTCTTTCTGATGGAGGTATAGAATATGAACAAATGCTCAACTTCTCTGGCCATAAAAGAAATGCAAATCAAAACAACATTGAGATTCCACCTCACCCCAGTTAGAATGGCTATAATCAAGAACTCTAATAAAAACAGATGCTGGAGGGGATGTGGACAGAAGGGAACCTTACTGCATTGTTGGTGGGAGTGTAACCTTGTCCAACCACTTTGAAAAGCAGTATGGAGGTTCCTCAAAAGACTCCACATAGAGCTCCCCCATGACCCAGCAATCCCACTTTTGGGCATTTACCCAAATGATCACAAACAAGGGTATATTAAAGCTACCAGTAAACTATGTTTATTGCAGGATTATTTACCATAGCTAAGGTATGGAACCAACCCAGATGCCCCTTAGTAGATGAATAGATTAAAAATAAGTCTCTTTTCACAGATCTTTTGGGAAAGAGGCAGGTTCAAATTGTTTAAAGTCTCATACTTGCATTATAGCATTTCCTTTATGTTAATGTTAGAAAAAAATAGTTCTGTTGGAGCACTAATAGCTCATGCTACTCGGGAGGCTGAGATCTGAAGATCGAGGTTCAAAGCCAGCCCAAGCAGGAAAGTCTTTGAGACTCCTATCAGCAATAAATCAACAGAGAGCTGGCCTTGAGCTGAAGAGCTAAGGAACAGCACCCAGGCCCAGAGTCAAAAAACAAAGAGAGAGAGAGACAGACAGACAGACAGACAGACAGACGATAGACAGACAGACAAAAAAAAAAAGAAAAGAAAAAGTTCTGCCTTTCTAGGGTATCTAGGGATTCTAGATGTATAGATATTGATACCTTGGTTTAAACTTATGCATTCATATAATAGAATCTTCTCGGTTGATTAGTTGTAGCCAAGATGGTACAGAAAATGTTTGCAGATTCCTATTCTAGATGAGCTCTTTGAATTCCTCCCTTTAGATGGAAACTGCTGAGCTGTTCTCCCATTTAACCAGCATTTATTCAAGGTCTATTATGTCATAGAAAAAGTATAATTCTGAAACCATCGCAGTGCATGTGATTTGGCAGGCCTTATTATATCTGAACCCCAGACTAATGGGGAAACCACACTTTACTGGCCCCACATGGAGTGTGCTTCACAGATTACCCAGACTCCTTGGGGTAAGGAATGTGTTTTTCTGGGCTGTGACCAAATCTTCAAGGCTGCTGGCTCATTGTCCCTGAAACTATAGCCAGGTACCACCATCTGGGGACAAGGGCACAAAGACCCTTTAGTCACAAGGCAGGGAGCCACTGATAGGTTTGAAAATTGATTCCCACTAATATATTTGAGGATTTGTTTGTTTGCAAAGCTTTTGTTGCTATGGTTAAAAATACCCAAATCATTACTTCATTTTGGACAAGAGATTGCTAAGTGGTGAACTATGTAAATCGAGACTTTTTTTGAGAAATCCCATATGGCAGTGGGGAAAGGGGTTAGAAATTACACCGAGGCTCAGGTCTCGGCGTTTCCGGAGCTAATTCTGTCCTTTAGAAGATATGTCAATTAATCCAGCCTGGGGGGAAGAAGAATTCTGTCCTAGCTTGGGCCAGACTGTCTGACTAGGTGCCAGTTCTGAAATATCTATTTTCTGCAGTATCTTTCTTACTGGCTTTCTTCTTTCCTCTCCTACTCCCTTTGGCTGCCTTTGGCCTTTCCCCCTCTTGCTCAGAGCAGCAGGAGTTCTACACAGAAGTTTTCATCTCAGTCTCCTGTTGCAACTCTTTTCACTGAATTCTGTGACTGCCTTATACAAGGCTCTTCCCAATGCTTTCACACACTATAAGCTTCCAGCTACGTCCAAAAGCTAGAGAAAAACTAGGTAGCCACTAAAAAGCTATTAATTTGGGTACTTATACCTAAGGATCATAGTGGTATGTTACGCCCTTTATTTATCTAGAAAATGAAAGGAAAAAGCATCTTGTTTCCTACACTGTTTCTGCGCCATTTCTCACACATGAGCACTACCTTGCTGTCTTTGTGTGTCTCTGTGTTTGTATGTCTCTAGTTGCACATGTTTCTATGTCATTCTCAGTCTCTTTCTCCCTGTCCCCCATCTCCTGAAGGTCAAATCCAGGGCCTCATATATACTGAGCAAGTATTCTATCTCTGAGCCCTGTTTCTTTTTTCATGAGAAAAGAGCTCTGGGGAAATGGTGTCTTTGGCCTTATTTGTCAAGTACCCTGCAGAACTTTGGAAACCCTCCAGCACTCCATGATTTCCAACTCACTTGTCCCTTTGATCCTTCATCCCTGTGGCCTGGTGGACCTGCACAGACCTAGACTGCAGAAGATCTGAAAGTACTTTCTGAGTGTCACACACACATGTGCCTAGATAACACATTTTCTGGCCTTGGCCATTTAGGCTTTATATACTGGTGAACCTTCAACTTACTGAAGAGACTCAGAATGTAGCATTAGGATTGTAGTCACTTTTAGTTATTATAAGGAAGACAAAGGGACTGGGAAGGTGGCTCAGTAGTAGAGTGCTTGCCTTGCATGCATGAGGCCTTGGGTTTGATTCCTCAGCACCACATAAGCAAAAAAGAAAAAAAACTGGAAGTGGTGCTGTGGCTCAAGTGGTAGAGCGCTAGCCTTGAGCTGAAGAGCTGAGGGACAGCGCCCAGGCCCAGAGTTCAGGCCCCATGACTGGACAAAAAAAAAAAGGAAGACAAAGAAGGAAATGACAAGGGGACTTGGTCCTTGAGAGAAAGGCTTAGGAGCTGGGAATATATTGTTCTGAATCTGGCTCTGAGATCTTGAGCAGTTTGCTTAATCAGTCTTACACTGGATTTCCAAAGGTGTGAAGTCAAAATAGTATTTCCCACCCAACAAAGGTAAGGCACAAATCGGATAGTAGACAATATTGGATCACTTTAATAATTACACATCATACTTTATTAAGAGCACAAATATTTGGAGGATTGTTGTAAACCATGGTCTATTTAAAGTACACATAGCCTACTGACCTTATAGAGTACAAATTCCCCCCTTGGAAAAATAGAAATCAAACTTCATCAAACCATCCACATGGCACAAATGCAATGGAAGTATTTTCCATTCCCATTTGCCATTCAAATGAACCATCAAATGAACCATCCCTGACCCCAGCATCTCTGGCAGTAGGGAATAGGAAGAAGACTAATGAGCCATTCATTTGCACCATGCTTTTGTGGTTAGCCACAATAGAAACAGCCATTGCCACCAGAAACATTTTTTCATACCACAAATAAGCAACATTTGATTCTCTATAAACATTCTCTAAGACTTTATGTGTTATTTGTTATCCAAACAGCAGAGAATGTGGGATTGCAATATAGGTTTATCCACAAAGTTCACAATTCATGAAAAAATGTGGTCTCATTTGGGGAAACAAAATCTGTTGCATATTTAGCCAATATATCTGCTTGCACATTGAAAGAACACGGTGAGCATTCAAAGCACTGTTGTCATCATTGCTGTAGTCACTGTGATTGTTGTTATTATACTAACTAGCAAATTAAGTAAACATTTTGATATGCAAATTTTACTATCATATTAACTAAACATTTTAATGTGCAAATTTTAGGAAGGCTATCAGACTATTGATATTTTATTAGAATAAACCTTAATCTTAACCTTAATCTTTAAATTTTCTTTTTTGTTGTTGTTTCTTAATGAAAACTACTAGTCCCATCAGGACAGATTATTTTATAAGGTAAAAGAATAATAAGAACGATATCTAAGATAAAACATGCATCAGTTTCCTCTTTTCATAAGAAGTTCTGAGGGGCTGGGAAGGTGGCTCAGTGGTAGAGTGCCTGCCTTGCATGCATGAGGCCCTGGGTTCGATTCCTCAGCACCACATAAGCAGAAAAAGCCAGAAATGGTGCTGTGGCTCAAGTGGTAGAGCATTAGCCTTGAGCTGAATAGCTGAGGGACAGCGCCCAGGCCCAGAGTTCAGGTCCTACGAGAGAGAGAGAGAGAGAGAGAGAGAAGGAGAGAGAGAGAGAGAGAGAGAGAGAGAAAGTTATGTTATAAAAAACCAAAGCCTGGACATTTAGGTTTTGCTTAAGTAATAACTAACAGATTTGTGTTTGAAAGACAAAAATATCACACAAAGGTTCAGATTACCTTCTCTTTAAATGATATGTTTTTAGGCTTGTCCATGGCTAATTTACAAATCCAAAATATAAATATCCAGTCTATTAGTAGCCTGATAGATAGACAGGCCTGAACAGAGATACTTAAAAGTCAAGTGATTAAGTATAGATTCACATACACCAGAATTCTAAGATGTTTTATGGACATGGAGAAGCTGGAGACATTTTAACCACAAAACACATAAATATGGGGGAAAAAAGTGGTCATTCACCATGGGCACAAAATGTTCCTGCTCTAGCAAAAAATAATGTACAGTACAAAAATAATGCCACTACAACTCTACCAAATATCCATGAAAAAGGGCATTCAGCTCATTTTTGCTATTTATTCTCTTCTATATCTCTGCTTATAGGAATCAAACAAACACCTAAGCCATCGAGTACTGTCAAGAATGTATCAATAGACTCTACTCACATCACAAAAAAACCAGGTAAGGAATAAGATGCTAACCCTCTTTCATCTGCCCACATCTGAAACTTGCACAGTGCGTGTGGGCTTACGTTTGGCAGCAAAATCAAGGCCCCAATGCATCAGGACTGTGTTAGCAGTATAGGCCTATTGGTAGAGAAACATACCAAAACATTGTCTTTGGGGTAATGTTAAGCGCTCAGTACATAAATGAGATTTTAACAAGAACATCTAGCAGAGTATTCAGTAATTATTTTCTTTTTTCAAAATTTTTATTGTAAAGATACTGTACAGAGGGGTTATAGTTACATGAGTAAGGTAATGTCAATAATTATTTTCAATAATGCTCTGATGAGCTTCAGTGGATGAGTGCTTTTACTCATTGTAAGTACTAGCTATTGTCCTGTTTTAAGTTCTATTCTTATATTTAAAAAAAGATTACAATAAATTATACAGAGTAGAACTTAAAACAGGACATTTTTTTCTGAAAAAATGTATATCCCTTGTTTAGCGTATGCTGTTTATAATAAGTAAAAAATTCAGACTATCTTCGCATTTAATAGATGCTACGAAAACTGCTCTTTTGGGACTCCTCTTTGGGGCCCTCTCCAATGGAGAGTTTCACTACTTAACTGTTACAGCTGTCTTTTCACTATCTTTTCCCTTCTAGTATTTTTAATATTATCTTTAGGCAGTTGTACAAAGGAGTTACCATTTAGCAAAGCATTTTATGAATACAATATGTCTTGATCTATGTCACCCCTTTCAACATTTTCATCCATCCCTTCCCTACTCACACCTTCCTTCACTCTTCTTAATTCTGTAGGAGAAACATTGGTTTCTTGTCTTCATTTTCACCCTCTTTTCCTTTTCCTTTTTAGCCCCTTTCTCTTTGACTCCAAACTCCACCGCCCCCACCTTCAAGCACCCACTTCCTAGTGATTTATTTTGCTGAATTTTGATTTGGCTTTCTAAAGAATCGTGCTGCTGTGTGAATTCTCCCTTGTATCTACTGTATTTCAGTTAATAGTTTTGTACACAGTTGCATACCACACTATATATTTACAAATGCTGGTGTGGATATGGCCAAAGGGAACCCTAACCCATTCAACCTCTGAAAAGCTGTATGGAGGTTTCTCAAAAAATTAAACATAGTACTACCCTATGATTCAGTAATCCCACTGCTGGGCATTTATCCAAAAGATTCTAAATCAGGATACAATAAAGCCACCAGCACAACCATGTTTGTTGTAACACTATTCACCATGTCCCATGTTTGGAATCAGCCCAGATGCCCTTCATATGGGTCAAGAAAACACGGTAGATAGATATAGATATAGATATAGGTATAGATATAGATATAGATGGAATTTTACTCATCCATTAGAAAGAATGATACCATGCCATTTGTAAAGAAATGGAAAGACTTGGAAAAATTATTCCAAGTGCAAGTAAGCCAGGCCTAGCGAGACAAAAGATCCTTTCATTTTCAAATAAATGTTCACTTTCAAATAAATGTATGCTTGTTTACCTTTAAAAACAATACCTACTCGAGTGTTAACATCTCTACCACCATCCTTCCAGGAGTGAGCACATTCACATACTCACCATCACTCCTTCTTTCTCTCCTTTCTTCATTTTCCTCTCCTGCTCTATCTCTCTTTCTCCACAGTATCCTGAGGACTACTTAAATCTGTCAGATATTTACCTGGAGTAACCATTTTATTTAAAACCAATGTAAATGGAAGATAAAAATTTAAGCCAGAACATAAGATTTAATATTTAATTAAGATGGACTGCTTAAAACACCTTTAGCTTTGCCAACCTCTGTGCAAACTATGGAAAGTTGCCCCTTTCCCCTGGGCTGGCAGCACTCCATGAGAGTAGTTGGAGGAGTGAAAGTGTGGGTCTTCCTATACAAATTCCTTGGCCAGGCTTTTTTTGTGCAGTAGTGGATTCCTAATGAGCTCTTCTCCACAGGCTCCTGATTCTTGTTTCTTAATCAGGGCTACTTTGGTATAATCATTTGAGATGTTCTGAAATTGTTTACTTATCATAATTGATGACAGACTAAGCACTCCACAAAGGAAAAATTGTGTGCTTAAAATGTAAAGTTAAAATGGAATTAAAAAATCACTGTCTCAAAGCCAAAGATACTTGAGGATAATGAAGTTCATGAATGTTGTCTATGGGAAAATATAAAATGTTATATATCCTTTCAACAGACAAATATACCTATATGTTTTCATCTGTAATTATAGAATATGTTTTGTATCTGTTAATGTGCTTCTTCATCTCTGAGTATACTTGTAGCCAATTTTAAATTTGGGTTAATATTAGTATTACCCTAATTATAAATATCTAATTAGTATTACACTAATTATATTAATTCTATGTACTTTTTGACAAAATCTGGTCATCTATCTGCTCTTTATGAATAGAACTTTTAAAATGGCTTTGATGCAATTAATATGATGGTTTTGCCTATAATTTCTCTTAGCTACAATCCCAGGGGCTCGCCACCCACCCCTCCCACCAAGACCTACACCTCCTCGAAGAAAACCTTTACCACCAAATAATGTCACTGGAAAACCCGGCAGTTCAGGTATATCCATCACTTGCCTCCTGTGATTTCAGTTTTACTAGCCAACTTGGGGTATTAACTCAAGCAATGGCCAACCCACAGGCATTCATGACACATGCTTTCATTGGCCTCAAAGACAACACTATGAATTACAGCCTCAAGGACTCATAGCTTTATTTTTGGAAGGTAAGGTTAGAGAAACTATCTCTTTTTACCTAAGCTCATTTGCTTCTTAGAAATCTGTTTGCTTGGAGCCTAGGTAGAAGCTGACTCTGGTCCTTCAACAAGTTGATTATTTTGGAGGAGGAAATGCTGCATGTGGCCAAGTGCTGAGGAAGAATGGAAAATATGATGCCCCCAGATCCCCAAGCCACCAGCCTTCATGCTGGCCCCTGTATTAAGTATGCAGGGGCATAGTTCAGATAAAATTACAGTAGACCCTTGGTATTCATGGCTAGATGTTTCAAGAAGACCACCACTGAGGAACAACTGTGGATGCTTGATCCATATTTTTCCAAACTGCACATATTATGTAATTCCATATCATACAAAATAACTAAGCTTTTCACTTTATCATTTAAATTAAGCACATTCACTTCTGCTTTGCTTTTGGGGGCACCATTTGCTTGTTGGGAATCACATTTTCACAAAATCAAGGGCCAGGATGACAAAATGACTTAAAACAACTGATAATAACAGGAGACTGACTGAGAGCTTCTCCCCACCCCACCCACTGGGGTGATGTGAATACAGGAATTAAGAAGTTTTATTATTGAAATTTCTTTTGACTTTTAAAACTACTATTATTTTTAACCACACTTGGTTAAAGCTCCAAGTCATCTATGAAAAGGACAATTTACTATACTGAGGCGATTGGCCAGGCCTTGCTAGTGAATCATGATTGAAATCTGTCTTATGTTTGGGCCTCTTCTCACTTTGTGTCTAGTTGCAAGTTGTACTTCCCCATAGACTGACCTTCCCCAGATGTAGCTACTCAGACACCCTTCATCTCTTCTCTAACTCCCCAAATAACCTTAGCAGTGCTTCTCCATTCTATGTCCTGAGGCATATTGTGGTTAGAACAGAACCAATTGGTTCAGACCTATTTGATTGCATTCTTCTCTGAGATCCCTGGTAAAAGAGTTCTTGGTATTCCATTTTCCCTGATTTCCTCAAACCAACCCATATGATTCACACACATAATGTGATTTCCAGAAATGTAGAGCTCTTGCTGCAACCTCAGACTATACCACAGCTCTCATCCCTACCTACTAGTTACTTCTCCCATTGGACATCCTCTATCAAGAAATTCCTCTACTCCTCACCCTGTACCCTTCGTTTTTCCCCATAGCTATAAACTCCCTTTTCTTGTCCCCTCTGTGACCTTATCTTGGCTTTTCACAATATCTATGATATTTCAATATCCTTGGCTTACACATCTATCTCTATCAAGAACCAGGTCTTGTTTATTCTCCAAGGCTAGCTGATAGTGCCAAGCCACATGGTAAGCACTCAAAAACATTTATTGAATAAATAAATAGGAAACTTGGCAGGACTGCTGTAGAGTCTTACTACTTTGGATCAACATTACAGGAATTATTTCATCAAGCCGAGTAACTTCCCCACCCCTGAGGGCAACACTCAAACCTACTGAAACCCCCTCAGAGAGACCAGAGATAGATAAAAAGCAGCCAACAGCTCCTGCCTCTGGAGAAGAGCTTGGTGAGTATGCTAATCAGTTCTCATGAAACGAAAAAGTAACAAAATATTTTTAATTAAGGGAATAGTCTCCATTCTGGATCTTCTGTTTTATACAATTTTATAATTAATATGGTCCTTTGATTTTAAATATTCAATCAGCTTTAACACTTTGTCATGGAATATACTCTTTAACAGACATTGAAGTGCCAAGTAGGTTTCCTGAAAAGGTATAAACTACCCAACCCTACTTTTAACTCACCTATTCTTAGTAATTACACATATGTTCATGGAGTAATAAGTATTACTTATTTTATTATAACTAATTTATTTTGTATTACATTCCATAAGACCTTACAGCAAGGCACAATAATGGTAAATGAAGATAAATAATAATAAAGGCAATCAAAGCTATAAGAAATTTAACTGGGAGGACTATTGAATATCTTTAGCTTTTGCTACTTTTTTCATGATATCATGAAGCTTCCTTTATCTCTTGCCAGATTGTACATTGTCTTTCATTCTCAGGTAATACAACTGACTTTAGCTCAAGCCCAACAAGAGAAACCGATCATCTGGGAAAGCCCAGATTCAAAGGTATGTTTGTCTCTGAATCTTGATTTTGACAAGACTATTTTTTGGTGTGTGGATTAGTCAGGCACTGTTGTGTAACAATTACAAAATCTCAGTAGCCTACTATAATAAAGATTTACTTTCCATGTCTGTAAGACAATTGGGGTTAGCTAACTAGCTGTGCTTAGCTCCATACATGCTTATCGAGGTGCTTCTGCTCATAGCAGCAGGAAATAGATGGCCTCTGTTGAGTTGGGCTTAGGCCCTACCCCACAGTTGTTCAATTTCGTGCCCAGGATGAAGAACTAATGGTGACCCAGAACCTATTCTTATCATAACACAAAGTAAAGAAAGGTGACATCCAAACATTCAGTCATATGGCTAGCTCCTTTTAAAATCCTAACACAATTCTGCATACACACTGTGCAGTGTTTTGGTGATTCTGGGTCCTTACCATTATCATATGGAATTTAGAATCAGCTGTTATCATTATATAAAATTTTTTTTAGATTTTGATTGAAATTACATTGATTCTGTAAGCCAACTTGAAAAGATTCACAGCTAAATACTGAATCTTCTCACCTATGGACTTTTAGTACCTCCCATTTATTTAAATCTTTTAAATATTTCTCACCAATGTTTTCTAGTTTTCATAGTACAAAAAAATCACAAAAGTATTATATTATTTTATTTCCATTTGTAATTGTTTATTGTTAGTGTGTAGAAAAACAAATTGATTTTTGTACAGTGATTTTTGTATCTGGAAACATTGCAATGTGTGTTATGGCTAGCAGCTGTTTTATAGACCATGGGATTTTCTGCACACAGATTTAAGTCATCTAAGTATAAAGCTTTGTTTTCTTTCCACCTTGAATGCTTTTTTTCTTATCTGATTAAACTCATTAGAGCTTCCAATAAAACATTATACAAAAATAGTGATAATAAAGTCCTAGCCGGGTGCCAGTGGCTCATTCCTGTAATCCTAGCTACTCAGGATGCTGAGACCTGAGGATCACAGTTCAAAGCCAGCTAGGGCAGAATGTCTGTGAGACTCTGATTTCCAGTTAACCACCAGAAAATGAAGTGTTGCTGTGGCTCAAGAGGGAGAGTGCTTGCCTTGAACTGAAGAGCTGAGGGACAGCGCCCAGCCCCAGAGTTCAAGCCCCACGACCGACAATAAAATAAAGTCTTTTGCAATTTCCTATGGGAAAATATCTTTCACCATTAAGTCCAGTGTTACACATAGATGTTTTTCAGAAGTGCTTTGAGTTGAAAATGCTTTGTTCCAGTCCTAGTATTTTTGACATTAATCAATACCATATTATGCTTTATTTATTTGCATTTATTAAGATGATTCTTTTATTTTGTAACATAGAATATGTTTAAGTAATTGATAAAAGTATATCATTGTTTTAAGTTTTAAATTAACTTTTAATGACAGGGATAACCCCCACTAAGAAATAATATAGTTTCCTTTTATACAATGTTGGATTTGTTAAAATTTTATTTAGAATAATCTTGGTGAGGGATATTGCTCTGTAGTTTTCTAATAATGTCTAGATTTACCATCAGAATAATGCTGACCTCTCCTCTTCAATTTTCTGGAAGAGTTTGTTTAGAGTTCCTATTGCTTCTTCCCTAAATATTTATTAATATTTACTAGCAAAGCCATCTGGGCCTCTTTGTGGGAAGATGCTTACATATACATTTACTTTCTTTAATAAGCATATCTCTATTCAGGGTATTTTGTGTTTCTTCGGGACTCTAGTGGTTTATGTTTTCTAAAGTATGAGTTCTTTAAAATTAGTTCTTCATTAGTTCTTAGATTTATTACTATAAGTTTTGTTTTTGGGGGGTTTTTTTGGTCAGGTCGTGGGGCCTGAACTCTGGGCCTGGGCGCTGTCCCTCAGCTTTCAGCTCAAGGCTAGCGCTCTACCACTTGAGCCACAGTGCCACTTCTGCTTTTTTTCTTTTTGCTTATGTGGTGCTGAGGAATCGAACCCAGGGCCTCATGCTTGCAAGGCAAGTGCTCTACCACTGAGCCACCTTCCCAGCCCAGAATTTTATAACTATTATGTCATCATATCATCTGCTCAGAGACTGCATGTCTTCAGATAATATCTCTGAGCTCAACTTCACTTCCCTTACTAGTTTCAAAAAGGCTAAATGTCTCTTGATCTCTCTCAGGTCCTCATGTGAGATATATCCCAAAGCCTGACAACAAGCCTTGCTCCATCACTGACTCCATCAAGCGGTTCCCTGCGGAGGAAGCCACGGAGGGAAATGCCACTAGCCCACCACAGAACCCACCCACCAACCTCACTGTGGTCACTGTGGAAGGGTGCCCCTCATTTGTCATCTTGGATTGGGAAAAACCATTAAATGACACGGTCACTGGTAAGATCATGGTACTTGGGCTGTTCCTAAGGTGAGAGGTTTGGTGATCTTTTGAGTTAGGCACCCTGAGTCAAGCTGTATCTGAGGAGGACTAAGTCTTAGCAGAGCTCTGCTGTCCTTAACAACCCATTGTCTGGGATGGGAGCCGGTCGTGTTTGTCTTTGTTAGGGGTTCCTATTAACTTACATTTCCTTAAATTGTGCTCCTTCTGTCTCCTCTTAGTACTCCTTTTCATAGCTGTAAGATATATCTTTTTTTCTCATGACCAAGAAAACTACAGATCATGTATGAGTTGCCACTGCATCTGATATTTAAACTACTTTTCCATTCACCAACCCAACTTCTACATTACCTTAAAACTTTCAAGTAGGCTAAAAATTTCAACTGTCTTTAGAGAAATTGGAAGGGGAGAGTAGGGTGTTTCATTCCAAAGCCATTTTCTGCTCATCTCAGGAAATTATACTACCATCAACCTAATTCCTCTAAAAAAATATGAAAAAAAGAGGGTGGAAAATGAGAACCCGTGAGCCATTCTTTGAATTTTTTATGTGTCAGATTGATTCAACCCAGTGAACAGAAGGATTAAACAGGAGAAGAGAGGTAGAAATAAAAGACTAGCAACCAGAATCAGCTAGAGGACATAGCCAATTGCCTGACTTTCTAAGGTTCCTGGAATGAGCCTCTGCCATGTATCTAATACAGAGAATAGTAAAGGGGACTAGAAGACTGTCAGTAGTATACAAGGAGTAGTAGATCAAGAGAGGAATGAGTAGGGAGATTGAGTGACTAAAGGGGAAAACAGCATTTACTTCTCCTTAGCCAGGTCACCATGTGACCTGGACAGTTCTCTCTAGCATATTTTGTAAGTTTTTTCTTTCTCATGCAAAGCTAGTTTGATTTTGAGTCAGGGAGGGAGAAGTAGAAGTCACTGTCTTTACTCCTTTGGGATTTGTCCCAGAGATCTGATTCTTTACCTGGGACTATACTGGTTGGTAATATTATTCTAATATCTAAAAGTCAGTCAGTCTCTTAGTATTGAGTATCTATAATGTATTGAAATATCTAATACACTCGACCCTTATACTTTCCTAATAAGGAATTCCTGTGATAGTCTGAGGCTTAGTTTCCTTAAAGCCAAATAGCCTGTGAATTTTAATTTTCCCTAAAGATGTTAAATAAATCAAGCTAGAATTAGCTAATCTAATACATCTAATATATATCCATGTGAATAATAGCAGATATTTCAGTGTAATATTCCAATGGCATAGATTTAAATCCCAGGCTGGTTAGGTTGTTAATATCCAACTTGGATACATAATTAGCCTCTCTGAGGTTCAGTTTGCTAACTTTTAATAATAGTAATAATTTCTATTCGTATCAATTGTTCCTGAACAAAGGTTAAATGGGAAATTTGAATATGTAACATAAATGTAAAATTAATGTTGGTAATAAGAGCATTTTCATGTCAGTGAACTTATAAAAGGACCCTACTTGTACTAAAAATGAAAGATAAAGTTCAAAGCACAAGAAAAATATATATTTAAGAGCTATACTGTGACAGACATTTTGAATTTTAAATGTCTTCATATGTAAAAGATACTTCTAGAATCATTTTACAAAAATTGACTTTTTCAAGGTGATCTTTAACTTTTAAAACTGCATCTAATGAAAATTTGAAAAGATATATATTAAAAGTTTCCAGTATCAAGAATCTGTGTTTAATACTAAGAAGGTTATTACATGGTTGAAAAGAAATGTCTTAAACCAGAAGTAGTTTTGTTTTGTTTTGGGTTTTTTTTTTATCGATTGTGGGGCTTGAACTCTGGGCCTGGGCGCTGTCCCTCAGCTTTTCAGCTCAAGGTGAGTGCTCTACCACTTGAACCGTAGTACCACTTCCAGTTTTCTGGTGGTTAATTAGAGATCAGAGTCCCACAGACCTTCCTGCTTGGCCTGGCTTTGAACCACGAGCCTCAGATCTCAGGCTCCTGAGTAGCTAAGATTACATACAGATGTGAGCCACCAGTGCCCAGCTCTAAAGATAGTTTTGAAGAGTTTTTTATGCGTAATCAACTAGAGTTTCATATAAATTGTTGTGGGGGTTTTGTGTGTGTGTGACTAAACAGCACCTGAGTCTACAATTGGAATCACTAGAGTTTTGTGATCCTGTTTTCAAAGCAGAACTTGGAAATAGGAGAAATAAAAGCAACAATAATATAAGTGCCACTGTTGAGCAAAATCATATAAAATGCTATTAAGTGCTTTCTAAATGTCTGAATTTAATCCCTACAGGCTACTCTGAGAAGAGATATCATTGACATTTTAAAGATTAAAAAAATGAAACTAAATCAAAGCCAGTGGGTTGGTTTATCTCTTTCATTAAAATATAGGTTCTGAGCCAGGTGCAAGTAGCTCATGCCTGTAATCCTAACTACCCAGGAGGCTGAGATCTAAGGATCACAGTCCAAAGCTAGCCCAGGCATGAAAGCCCACTAGAAGCCTATCTCCAACTAAGCCAGAAGAGGGGCTGTGGCTCAAGTAGTAGAGCTCTAGCCTGGAGCAAAAAAGCTCAGGGACAATTTCTAGGCTTTGAGTTCAAGCCCACCAAAAAGCACCAAAATATAAATTAAAAGAAAAAATTAATATATATATGGGTTCTGTTTGTTTTTAATTCAATTTTACTTACACTTTTTTTTTACATTTTACATATAATTCTTTTAACATATCTTTTTGTCTAGTAATTATTCCCTTGCTAAGAAAAGACATAAAGTGGACCTATTTCAATTTAGGTTTCTTCCCTTTCCTTCCAAAATATGCTTCTAAAATAGCGAAATCTGGTAGGCAGTTTGAGATTTTTTAAAGCGTCTGATTGAATAACAGCAGTACTGATGGTGACCAGATATATTGGCCAATGTTTTCTATTTTACTTTTGGATTGTTCAGAAAAAAAAATCATTCTCCTTTTGGGGTTTTTAATACAAACTATTAAAAATCCTCCAAGAATTTAAAATGCAAGACCTTAGGTCTGCTTGAGTAATTCTACTTTTGCTTTTATTTTAATATTCAACTTATCTCTTGGATCTCGGTACAATAGCAGAAACTTGCCAGTCCTGCAGGCTCATTTCCCCTTATCTGACACCCAGCTCCCATATTTCTTTATGTTACTGAAGCTGATTTTGAGTGCTGGTGTTTTTAGTTTTTCAGTCCTGTCTACCATAGAAAGCCCAAACTGAGAGCAGAACAAACCAAAACAAACCTGTACATTACATTCTCTTATTTCTAAAGTAGCTATTTTTGGATGAACAAGTTCACAGAAATATGCTTGAAAGTAAAATTTAGGCAGACATTTTATTTAATATAAAGGAATGATATAAGTTAACATAATCAGGAAGCAATAGTTTATTTAGTTGACTGCTACTTACTGATGTGGCTTTAAACTAAAAGAAATTATTTGCAGCAGCACTACATACAAACTTGGCCCTTTCCCCAACTATTATAGTGACCCTTAGAGGCTTTATAATAACATAGCTTCTACTGATCATAGCTTTTGCTCAAGCACACCCTTCACACTATGAAGACTTTCATAAAACTAGGCTTCCCACCAGCAGACACACACACACAAAATTCAGATTCTCCCTCCAAAGTAACCACAAGATAATCTCATCACCAGTTACTTTCCCTTCCCCTGTTCTGATACAGGGAAAGCAGAAATAGGAAATAGACCATTTCCTTAATGCTTTTGGGACCCTTTTCATCTGGTAAGTTCCAGTTTCCAATCTGTCTTATACATTAGCAATTAGGAAATTGCTAATGTATAAGATCAACGTGTCTCTCAAATGGCAATTTAAACTACTCACATTTACGTGGGGGGCTTTAGTATATTATCAGTTTCAAGAACTATTAAGTCAGCTGTAATATGAAGAGAAATATTTGGGTTTTCTTCCCCTGCTTTTCAGAATATGAAGTTATATCTAGAGAAAATGGATCATTCAGTGGGAAGAACAAATCCATTCAACTTACAAATCAAACCTTCTCCACAGTAGAAAATCTGAAACCAGATACAAGGTAAGCCCCAGTGCTATTCTAGGTGAATTGTGAATTGCACTCTCTCAGTGCAAAACTCCTCATATCATCTTCTCTGCCTTACCCGAGGATCTAGCTTCCATTTCACTCTGGCTTTCTGTGGCACAACACCAGATGCCTCTGGAGCCACACTTTGAAAATATACAAGTTATTGGGCATAAACGGGCCAATAAGATGACCGTATAAGTGAACAATATAGCTGGCAATATAAAAAATAGAAGGTCATTGATATCAAAACTTGGAGAAGGCCAGACATGACTGGAATATGTATGCATCACGCAAACTAGATTTGAAACACCAAAGAATCTGGCTTTCCTGTTGGGAAGGGCAGGGTAAGGAAACAGAAACAATGGAACAAAATGTAAGGGCAAGTTTTTAAGATTTAAAACAGCTACATGCTGGTCCTTGATATGCGGTTTATTATTATTTTTGTTGGTGTTTTGTTCTGGGGACTTTATATCACTGATAAAATGAGAACTGAGTTGTGATGAAGGAGTTGCATATTTTTATCACTGATTTATAATAAATAACTTTTATACTGATACCAAGGTATTCATATTATTGTATGGTTTTGTGGTTTCTTTTAAAATCTAAATGCTTAACATTTCATCAGTTTACTTTATTTCCAAAAGAAAAGCAAAACCCTAAAACATTGCTAATACTATAGTAGAAAAGTTCCTAAAGGATTTTCCCCATAGAATTCCTCTCTTACAACTTTCATTGTCATCTACTGTCTGAACTGAATTAGGTACTAATAGTGAATCGCAGGACAGCCTATTTGGGCTGCAGTAATAGGGAGATTTTTTTCCAGTCTTTCTAAAGGAAAATAAACATCTAATTTATAGTAGATGGTTTGCTGTAATAAATTTTCATCCTCTACTGAAAAAATACTATTTCTTCCCAAAATGCGGTTTCTAAAAGTCTCTTTTGAGCTAGCTGTAAGATGGAAATTTTTTAGCTGTTAATTTTTTTAATTATCCAAGATAAGCATATATTTTAGCTAAAGCTGATACTGGAGAAAACAAAGAGAAAGACAATGTTTGCAGAAATATATTTTAAGGAAAAATATCATTTAATTTGACTTTTTAAATAGATAGCTTTGGGCTTATAAGACTGAGGTGGCTTTTCTTGTCATTTTCCTACTTTTTTGTCCACTTAATAAAAAGTGACCTTTTGCAGTACGATATTTGAAATGGAAAGATATCCAATTTGTAAATGTACATTGTGTTCTTTTTTTCTAAATTAAGCTATCCTTAAAACTTCTGACAGGGTACCTATAATTCATTGTCAAAATGCAGAACACAGTCATTCTAGTGATAGTTTAAGCCCAATGTGTTTGTAAAAGGTTGTGTTTCAACTCAGCTAACAATTGTACCATCACTTCATAAGTGCTTAGGAGCATGCTCAATGCAATTACAAATGTGAACCAACATAGTGCCTGCCCTTGAGCTCACTGCAAGTGGAGAGGCAGTTAGTAGCCAAGTGATCTACATAAAGTGCTGAGCCATCTCACAGACTCATTGAAGGGGTATGACAACTCAAAGAGAAGGCATTTCACAAAGTTGGGGGAAATTAGGCCAAGTTTTCTGGGAAAAGGTCTTTCTCTTCAGGCAATGTATGGTTCTTGTTGAGCTAAAAGAAAAAATATTAGAAGAACCTGTTATGCGAGAACACACCACCTTGTAAAACCACAGATATTTCTTAGTCCTGCAAATAGAGAAACTAATAGAGAATGTCTTAAGTGACTCATCTTGTATACCAGTGCTTCTTGAGACAGAAAGTGCCTTAGCTGATCTCCAAGTCTCCTCTAAGTCTGATAGCCAAAACAATGTAGGTCAGTGAGAAAACCAGAACTGAAAACTAAAACTTAGGTGAGCCTGTAGTGAAACTGACTCCATAAATTGCTTTTGACTGCCTGTCTGTAGTCTGTAATTGGTTTTCAGATGATTTTTGTTTTATCACACGTTTTGATAATGTGTTGATGGGCCACTTTCTTCCTGGTTGGCAAAAAATGGGAGCAACACACATGATCGCTACACACTAAAAAGTCCCTCTAATATCACTTGTCCGTTCCAATGAGCCTACTTGTCTCTTACTTTACTGAAAAACTGAAGAAACTGTTCTATGTGCCAGACCTACATAGGGTCCAACAACTTCCTATGGAAAATGTACTGTCTGGCAACTGAAGATAAATCAACTCAATCTGCTTACATACTCTCATTGACCTCTGTTGGCTCAGGATGATTTTAGAGAACAGTTCTTCCTCTAAGACCAAAACCTACCAAAGGGGCAGCAATGATGGTTTGGTACTCTTGGTTATAGTGTTGGATTTAATAAAATGTTGGCACTGAAAGTTGGCTGGAACAGAGACAGCAAATAAACGGCAAATCTGGCTGAATGAAACAGACATGTGGAATCACCATTATGCTCCTTTCAGAGTATTCCTGTGAAATTCTGTTCTCTGCATATTCTGTGCTAACTTTTTAACATCTCTTTCCCATAGACTTTGTAGAAAGAAGTAAAATAAACTTGCCAAAGCATCAGGCATTTTATTTATATGATTATAGGTGTGAGGAGCAAAAGGGCAAGCCCTTCCTGGTTAAAGAAGAGAGGTTGATTGTTCAGTTTAGCAACTTTTTATCAGGCAAAAGAACAGTTCTCTAAAAGCATGGAATTCACAAGTCTATAAAGAGAACCATTCTTCCTCTCGTATCACTATCTGTTTGTATAACATTTTGTTTAAATTCTTTTGCGTCTAGGGAGAGAGTAAAAGAAAGTCAAGACAGCACTAGAGCGTTAGAAATGCAGCCTAACTTCAGAATTTCTATTCTCCTTTCAAAATGGAGGACCCAAGAAATGGAAAGATCCATTACAGTATAACACACAGCTCATTCACGTAGCTGTTCAATCCTTTTTCTCTCTTCTGTCTCCAACTTTTTTTTCCCCTTGCAACAGTATCTGGGAATCTTGTCTAGTCTGACCTCAAATTCATGATCCTCCTGACTTGGCTTCCTAAAAGTGGCTAGGATTCTCGAGGTATGCCACCCTACAGGCTCTCTCCCTAGTATGGCTTGTTCTGTGATCAGTATTTGCTCATCTGTCCTCTTGCTTCTTGCACGTATTCCCAAATCTGCACAAACAGTACTTGTCGCAGGTGTTAGGAAGGCATACTGTAATCTTTTTGTATCCTTGGAGATGAGCTCACGTACTCTGATTAACCATACTTCTTTTTCATCTTTTTGGGTAACCCTAATGCTATTTTGTTTGTGTGTGCTTTTCTTATTCCACATTTCTCTGCTTGTATCAGAAAGTTCAATCTGAATAGGGCTCAAATACTTCAAGATTATATTAGACAGTATATCATCTATTCAATCAATTCACACCTATACATTTGTTCTATACTTGGGGTAAAAATACTGAGAAGGGAAATGTGGAAGAGAAGGACAAAGTGGGTAGACATGGAAGAAGTGTCTGCTCTATGGAGACCTGCAGGTTCCCCTTGAGGCTTACTCCTCTTACATGGTTAAGTAATCAGCCCGAGGTCTGCTCCTCCCAGTGGATGAACATTCGTTTTCTTGAATCACAAATCACATTTTTGATCTTCACTTTTCAGTGAACTGATATATTCTTATGCTAATTTTCATAATTTGCTCTCAGACTATGATTTAAAACTCTTCCCTCTGCTTTATTGTCCTTCTCCCTTAAGATAATGCTTCAGATCTCTCTAAGCTCTTCAATGAAATCTTACCTTTTTTCCCCTTAGATAGTAAGGAAAAATTAGCCACAGAAATTTTAATCTTCCTAGTAATTGGCTATGTGTATAGTACAATCAACTAAAATGCAAGTAAATTGACATCGAATAATTCTGTTGAGTTCTTTGGCAAATTCAGTAACAGAGGGTTATTTTTTTTAATCCTGTAGCCATATAACACTAACAAATATTTATAATTCCTATGTACTAGGCACCTTGATTTTACAAGCATTATCTCATTTAATCCCTCATGAAAACTTAATTATTTTTATATGCTTGTGAATTTAAAAAACACTCTCTATACAAATAGTATGACTACACTCATTTTTGTGTACGTGGAAAAGCCTGGAAAGGTTAATTTTCTTGGTAAGTTGGGATGGCCACCTCAGGGTAGAGATGTGTGAGAAGATTGCATCTGCTGGGGCCCACACCTAACCAGCATAGCATTCTGGGAGAGGGGTGTAATCTCTCTGGCTTATCTTCAATGAGGCCCAAAAGTTTAACTAGAGTCATCATCTGGACTAAACTCCAGACATTCATTTTAAATGACTTTTAAGAATTTTTTTAGTACATAGGGCTTCATTGTGGCATTTATAACATGTATAATGTAATTGGATCACATTCTTCTCCCTCCCTCCCCCATTTTAGTGAATTTCACATAGGTATTTCTCTCTTATTCATCCCACTACCCTCTTCTTCTTCTTACTGATTTCCTTGCTTCCCCAAACCCCTATTTTACAATCATGTCATATATTTTATGGGTCTAGATTCCAAGTATGAGTGAAAACACAGTATTTGTCTTTCTGAGCTTGGCTTATTTCCCTTAACATGATAATCTCCAGTTCCATTTTCCTGCAAATGACATAATTCCATCCTTCTTAGTGGTTCCAACCTATATATGTATCTAGTCATTGGTTGGTTGGCACTTAGGCTAGTTCCATGTCTTGCCTATTGTAAACAGTGCTGTTATAAACATGGGTGTGCAAGTATCTCTCTTGTATATTGATTTATATTCCTTTGAATATATGTCCAAATGTGGTATGGCAGGATCATACAGTAGTTTTATTTTTAGTTTCTTGAGGAATTTCTATACTGATTTTTAAACTGGCTGGATTAACATTCCCACCAACATAGATAGGTTTCTTCCCCACCCCAACTCCCCACTCAGTCCTCACCAGCATTTGTTCCTTTGATGATTGTCATTCTGACTGTGTGAGTCAGAATATCAGTGTTGGTTTGATTTGCACATCCTTTACAGCTAAGGATGTTGAACATTTCCTGGTATGTTTAGTCATTTGTACTTCTAAGAACTGTTCAGTTATTTATTAATTGGATTATTTTGGTTTTTTTAACTCTATAAATTCTGAGTACATAGAGTATTTGTCCAATGAACTGCTTGATCAGATTTTTTTCTTGTTCTCTCTCAATTTTGGACATTTTGTTGATGTGTATTTAGTGCATTGTGGGGTGTGTGTGTGTGTGTGTGTGTGTGTGTGTGTGTGTGTGTGTGTGTGTGTGTGTGTGTACTAGTACTTGGGCTTGAACTTAGCATCTCTTGCCTTGCTCAGTTTTCTTGCCCATGGCTCAGTGTCCTGAGTAGCTAGGGTTACAGGCAAGAGTCACCAGCTCCAAACACAATGTGAAGAAGCTTTAATCTGATGTCATTCTATTTATCAATTGTTGCTCTTATTCACTGAGCATTGGGAATCTTATTCAGAAAGTTGTTGCCTATCTCTTCCAAAGTTTTCCCTTGGCTTTCATAGTAATTTCCATGTTTTGGGTCTTACATTAAGGTCTTTGATTCACTTTGAACTGATTTTAGTACAGGATGAGAAACAAGGATCCAATTTGTCTAGATCTTATAGATAGCTTTTTTTAAATCACTTTTTATCAGAAAGATGTACATGATTTTCACTATGGCTCACCCCTGCAAACTCAGGCTAGAGTTTAACCCCCAAATGAATTAAATAGAGTATTTATAGGTAGAGCCTTTAGAACATAATCTGTATTAGATAGTTTATTAGGGTGGAGTCCCCATGACTGACTACTAGCAGCTTTGTAAATAGGGCAGACAGACACACATACACACTATGTCTCTTCCCATGTAATGCTCTACACCCCAGAACTCTGCCAGCAAGAAAATCATCACCAAATGTAGCCCTTAGACCTTATTCTTCCACAAGCAGCCTACCTCAAGTTTTGAAATAGTAACACAAAACAGACAAGTACAGTGTTAAAACTCAATACTACAAAAGTAGTTCTTTTCTATTATTAAATTGTTTCCCAGATGCAAACTTATGAATATTTGTGGCCATGCTGCAAATGGAACTGAAGTGTGAATAACTGAAAAGACATAAGATGATTCCAACCTTCAGATTTGGCATGTGCTCAGGCTGTTGGCAATGCTCTGGAATGCATGTGGAATGCAGTTCTACTTGACTCACCCTCCAGATGTCTGTGACTTTTCCCCTTTCCATTTTCAGTTCACCAGTTTGGTAAAGTTGTGTAGCTGTGCACACACAGGCAAGTGATGTTGATTTTCAAGTGTGAATCATTGACTTTAGTTTTTAGGCCATTTGCCTTAGGAAGAATCTAGTATCTAGAAAATATTCCATGTGAAACACCCCATGTATATGTGATTTAGATAAATAAGTGTTTTTATATCGGTGATTTCTTAGGATAAATTTATTAGGATGATGTAACATCTTAATTATCCAGTTTAGAAAATGCTTTCATTGGTATTCACTCATTAAATTTATGAAGATAAACACCCATTACACAAAGTTTAAAAGTTTGAAAAAGCAAAGACAATAAATGATAGTACAGTTGTGAACCATTGTTAAACATTAGAACCATCAGTTAAACATTAGAATATCTCCTGGGGTCTGTATTTTCTATTTTTTTAATGTATATGAAATGATTACTGCATTGGACATACATGATACTTAAAAAAGTGTTTTCCATTGTTACAGCACAGCAATGTCATCTTATACTAGATTTTAATTTAATTGACTCCTTGAACACCAAATAGTAGTATATTTTGGTACCATCTACTCCAAATTAAGAACTCTCATTCTTCTGCTTTGCACTTCTTTGAGTTCTCACTTTTTCTAATTGCAAACTTCTCAAAGAATGTAAATAATTTATCTTTCAAAAACCTTGTACATGATAGAGTTCTAGCCTTGAGCTGAAGAGCTGAGGGACAGTACCCAGGCCCAGAGTTCCGGCCCCACAACTGACCAAAAACAAAAACAAAACAAACAAACAAAAACAAAAAACCCTTGCACTGATCCCATTCTTACACAAAACCACTACATGACTTGAGCTTTATCACTTCAGTGGTTTTATTACTAAGTCTACTACTGAAAGGAATTCAATTTTAGCCATATAGTAAATTCCTCGATGAGTTTCTTGAGAATTTGTTCTGTTTATGAAGTTTAGTAAAACTAGTCAAATACTAACAGTTTAATGAGTAGTACTCAAGGATAGAAATAAAATTAGTCAGGATCTGTGTTTTTTTGTTTTTTGTTTTTAATACATAGTTAAACCAGCTGCTGACTGCTCATGACAGCACTACTCAGCTGTTCAAGATGCTGCAATCTGAGGAGTACAGTCCAAAGCCGGCACGGGCAGAAATGCCCGGTCGACTCTTGTCTCCAATTAACCAGCAAAAAAGCTAGAAGAGGAGGTGTGGTTCAAGTGGTAGAGTGCCAGCCTTGAGCACAAAAGGAACAGCCTCTGGTCCCAAGTTCAAGGCCCAGTACTAGCGTCCACACACATCACACTCACACATATACATACAGTTAAGGGCTGGCCAGTATTAAACTGATGTATTGAGGGAGATTTGTTTCTGTCGTTGTGTTAGTGCTCACAGGACATGCCCAGACTACTCTTCTGGCCTCTGTAGCTTCCTGTGATCTACAACAGACCTGATACTAGGGTATACATCTAGTCTTGCAAAAAAACTTTTTCATGAATGGCTATCCCCATAACTTAGTCTAGTTATTCTCAAATACCAGTGGCATTGGATCACTTCAGATTCCGCAGCAAAGTTGTGACAGGAAACTTGTACTGCTAACCCAGTCTGTGGTTCAGATATAGGTAGTTCAAATACCATACTGGAGAGCATTACCTAATACTCAGGGTTGTGCTGATTAGAAGTAAAGGAACTTTTCACTCAACATCTGAAGGGAGGCTCCTCGTTGCTGGAATTAGCTTGTGTCCACCACATATGTCTTTCCTATAGGTTGTCCATTACCATGTTATTTCTACAAATTTTGTACTTTGAAAAGATAAACCCTTTAAAAATTTTTTCCTCATACACTAGATGTTTAGAAAGTAAAACGTGCTTCCCAAACACATGACCTCCTGTCATCGAGACCCAAGTAGAACCAGGCAGGATGACAAACAAGACGATGTTGCTTCCCACTTTCTTCAGGAATGTATTAAATGATCTTTATTTCTCCCCACACAGTTATGAATTCCAAGTGAAGCCCAAAAACCCACTTGGTGAAGGCCCAGCCAGTAAGACGGTGGCATTCAGTACAGAATCAGGTAACCACACCAGAAATTCCCAAACATAAGGGTGTACACATGTAATGGAATACTGTGTTGCATAGGAAGCCAAACCCAGACTTGCTTGAATTAAGATGAAGAAAAAAAAAGACAAAAAAAATCTAATTCATTAAGGTACCCTGATGGCCACTTTTCATTTATCCTGATGTTAAAAAAACTTAGCAATAAAAATAACCTGTAGGTTTAATCTGTAGTCAAAAATCTAGTGAATAAATGCCTGTCTGTATGCCTAAAGTATTAGTAGATACATCAAAAAAGGAAAATCAAAGTAAGATTTTTGCAATTTCTTCTTTAAATGTGAATAGGCTAAATAGCTTTATTCACTTATTTATTTATTGTCAGTCATGGGGCTTGAACTCTGGGCCTGGGTGCTGTCCCTCATCTCTTCAGCTCAAGGATAGCACTCTACCACTTGAGCCACAGCACCACTTCCATTTTTTTGCAATTTTCTAGGCATTCCAAGCTCCAACGCATTAGCACAATGTATCTGTATTTATAGATTGGTATTTTCAGAAGTGTTATACCAACAGAAGTGAGCCATGCCCATGTAATTGTTACCCCTCTGTACAGTATTTTCACAATAAAAAAAAAAGGAGTGCCATCCTCGTGGCTCATCTACCATGAATTACTTTTATATGAAACAGAAGCTTTTGAAACTGAACAGCAGCCACCACTCATTCCTACTCAAACCACATGCAAGATATAATATAGAGTACCTGGCAGATTATGCAAGACCTACTTTGAACTTCCAAATTCAATCTTTACCAAAACTGTACCATTTTGCAAGTAAGGTTTAATTTTTCATCATGCCTTAATATTAAGAGTTTAGCTAAAGATCTAACTGTTGTATTTGCTGTTTCTCTTAAGCTGATCCTCGAGTGAGCGAGCCCATTTCTGGTAAGTAACCATGTCAGTGACTCAACTAAATTGGTACAGCAGTACTTGAGTAATGGTTTCAAGTTTTTCAGCCTTCTTAGAAGACCAATCAGGTGAGAGTGTTTACCTAATACACTGATAACATTGACAGCCTATAGTATTCTGAGGCAAATCAGTTATTTTGAGACTTGCTTTTCACTCAGGCAAGTTCAAATTTTCTGATTAGTAAATTAAAGCCAAGATGTGCTGCTTTCACTTTTAATAACAAGTTACATTAAGTGGTAGGCTGCCAAAGAGAACCCTAAATGTGCTTCCAGGACAGTCTACATTTAGCAAAGGCTGTTCCACACATAAGCCTAACTGTTCTAAAACGTTTACCTTGCTATTGACAGGAACTTAATGGGGGGGAGGGACTGTTTGCTCAAGACTATAGTATTTTTGGCTCAAATATTTGGCATTGGGTTTAAAAAAGCATCAGCAAGTTGGTAATGAACTTTGTGGCCTTTTTTTTGTAAATTGTGTGGAAACCTAATATACGATGCTGACCTCAAACCATGTGTTTCCCTTACACAGCAGGAAGAGATGCTATCTGGACTGAAAGGCCCTTTAATTCAGATTCTTATTCCGAATGTAAGGGCAAACAGTATGTCAAAAGGACATGGTATAAAAAATTTGTTGGAGTGCAGCTGTGCAACTCTCTCAGATACAAGATTTATCTGAGTGACTCCCTCACAGGTAAACGGGGCTATCAGTCCTTTTTCAAACCTTTGCCTTCCAGGAATGTTTTCCAGTATTTTAAAATCTAGATCTCATCTGAAATGGAGCTTTTTCTAAAAAGACTTTCAGACCTAAGGAGTGATTCAGGACCTTACACAAGTTTTCCTGAGTATAGTTCCTTAAACGGTTAACATCCTAGCAAAAAAAAGGACATAAAAACGTATTATTGAGAGTAAATAATGAAAATGCAATCTGAAACAGTGCCACCACAGCACACTTGAATGTACAGACACTAGCATATTCAATTTTGCCACAGCCTTCAAAGACTAAAAGCCTATTGGTAATGATTGTATCTAACAATACCCATCTAAGGAACCTGATCCCTAGACGTGCTGTAAACCTTGCTCCAAACTGAAAATTTAGCATTTTTCTTCTATATTCATATAGAAAAAAATGTAAGGATGGCCCACCACAGAAAGATGGATGTTTGTCCACTCATTTCAGTGAATATTTACAATATGCCAGGTACTAGGTTAGGTGCTGGTGACAAAAAAAACACATTCCTATTTCATAGTTAACTCCCTTCTCCACAGTAGGTAGAGACAAACAACATCAACCAAGTGATGGAAATCTATCATCTGAATATGAACTACATGTAGGCACTCTGAAGACAATTAGGGTAGTTTTAGGGAAGTTCTCTCTGAAAAGTTACCACTTGTGCTAAGAAAAAGGTTACGAGAAGCCACTACCCACAAAAGGTCTAGCGACAAAGGATTCAGAGGTAGACAAAAAATAAGGGCAAAGGTCTGAGGTGAGACACCTTGACCAGTTCTATGAGTATGGCTGAGATTTAGTAAAGGAGGACCATGCAGACAAAACTAAACTCACGTAGAACGTTAAAATTGGTTTTATTGTCAGTATACGGGGAGACTGATAGAAGAATTTTCGCAGATTTACATTACCTGCGTTAAAAAAAAAAATCACTAATCTCTGAAATGAGAATAGTAGTATTATAAGAGGGAAGGCAAGCACAAATGCTAGGAAACTATTCCCTAGTTCTGTTGAGACACTAATGGCTTGAACTATGGAGTAAGAAAGAAAATGTACAAGGAAAAATGAAGTAACTTATTTCAGAACTGTTATATACCAAAGCAAGCAGCATTTAATTTTAACTTCTGGTTCTTCAGGGAAATTTTACAACATAGGTGATCAAAGAGGCCATGGAGAGGATCACTGCCAATTTGTAGACTCATTTTTAGATGGCCGTACAGGACAGCAACTCACTTCTGACCAGTTACCAACTAAAGAAGGTATGCTTTTAATCCTCCTTCCACATAAAAGTCTTACAAATTAACTTAGAAATCAAGTGAAAATAAGCCATCAACAAGAATTCTATAAAACTACTACTTCATATCTCACTAAAAAAAGTTTAACTCATACTTAGAACCCAGGGAAATCACACACACACACACACTCTAAGAAAATATTTGTAAAACTAGCTATAAAAAGTCAGTCTTACTAGGAAATAGGTACATGCAAGAAGGGGATGAGGTCAAGTAGGGAGGGTAGACAAATGAAGAGAAGGAGGTGAGAATGCAGTCCAGAATTCACCACAAAATTAAGAAAAGGGAAGAGGTGGGCTGAAAGGAGCTGGAAGGGGGTGACACTGATCAAGATGCATTGTATTGGCGGGCACTGGTGGTTCACGCCTGCGATCCTAGCTACTCAGGAGGCTGAGATTTGAGGATCACGATTCAAAGCCAGTCCGGGCAGGAAAAGTCCATGAGACGCTTATCTCCAACTAACCACTAGAAAAGCAGAAATGGTGCTGTGGTTCAAGAGCTCAGGGACAGTGACAAAAAAAAAGATACATAGTATTCATAAACTGCTTAGTGAAAATTTACCTTCACTGCACAACTAAACTACTTAAAGATAGTAAGAAAAGTAATTTTTTTTAAATCAAGACTTTCCTAAACTTAAACCAATTATGCACAACCTTTATGGGTTTTGTTATCCTGAGCATACCTGCAGTTTTTTAAATTCTCTTAACATTTTTAAAGAAAAATTTGTTATCATCATACATGAAAGGCATACTATTATTTCCAACTGTATACCTGCAATTAAAATAAATCTACTGAAAGAATAATCTCCACAATATTCATCAGCACAAAGCTGCATGAGAACTGAAAAACAGTGAAAATTGAATCCTTGTGTAGCAGTATATTAGAGAGTAACTGTCCTGGTTACTCAGGAACACCAGAAGGTTCTTTAAGTACTACAATTATTTTACTAAGCTTGCTAGTAACATTTTTTTTTTTTTGGTGGTACTATGGTTTGAGCTCAGGGATTCACTTATTAGGCAGGTGCTAAACTCTGAGCCAGGCCTTTAGATTTTGTTCATGATCACTTAGAAATAGCAGTAAAAGACTCAGTAAGATCTGTGAAGACATTAATGGACAAGCTAGAACTGGTCCCAGACACGACCAAGCATCCTACCCTCATTTGCTAAGAGAATTGTTAGCAATTTTCCACATCCTAGGATTTGAAATAGCTAGGAAAGACACCAATCTTTCTTCTTCATTAAGTTTTAAATCATTTGCTTCACTCACAGTAATCTTCACACATTCAGCAGTCAAGGAAAAAACTAATGTAGCAGCCATTAAAACTAACCTATTTCCCCTCTCAGGCTATTTCAGGGCAGTTCGACAAGAACCTGTCCAGTTTGGAGAAATAGGTGGGCACACCCAAATCAACTATGTCCAATGGTATGAATGTGGGACCACAATTCCTGGAAAATGGTAGATGCTACAATCATACTCCAAAGTACTTCTGATTCATTATTGGGGGTGCGGGGGGGGGGGAGAATCATTGAAAATACTGTAGTATTTGTCGGATTCATTCAAAGCTATTTTGTTTACTATGGATAAAACTCTGCAACCTAATTAATGGCAATTTTAGATGTTTATTAGAAAAGATTGCTGAGAATATTTATCAGGTTTTATAAAGTCAGTTTATGAAAGCAAGACATTGACACTATCAGAATAACATTTTTAGGGAAGCTGGCTCCCTATTCATGGTATTTTAAGAGATCATTTGTATATTATTTATCACATTGTTGTAATGTTTTTGAGATACTTTTATAACAAAATTAACATCAAGTTATATACTTAAAAATATTTACTTTTATTGATGTGTACACTTTTGTTGATGAGTTAATCTCATAAATCTCTACTTACTTTAACTTATTGGAGCAAATTATCTTCAGCATATACATCTGGTAGAAAAAGGTTCTAATGTTCACATATATTTAAACTCAACCATGTTCAGCTGTTGTTAAAAATATTGAAATTTAAATAACTATATATTCATGCTAATAGATTATTTCCATAAGCTCTCTGTAATTATTGAAAAAACTGTATTTGAATCAGTAAAGTTTATTTCAGCTAAAAACTGTTGAGGATTTGGTATACTTACTTTCAAGAGGAGTATTTTGGTTTTCCTCCTATAAATGTTCTAACGTCTAAAGATACTTTGTCAAACTATACCTTTAAGCAGTTGTCTTCATGTTAGTTTTTATTCTAATCAAGCTGTATGAAAGAATGTTAAGTCTGAACACGAAAAGATAATTCAGAATGAGATCTATACCATCTTACAAAATACCTGATATATATTTATACATTTTTAAAGTCTGTATGAATAAAGGTGTTTTTGTAATTCTACTCAACAGAGTTATAATAAAAACCAGATTAATTTTCATTTTAAAAAAAGACATCCCTGGGGAGGTAGACATGATTATCCCGTTACCTTCTTTTTTGAAAGAACCTTTCCGTGTGCTTACCTTTCAACGTGCCTCAGTCTTATCAGTGCTACATGTTGTATTTTTCAAACAAGTATAAACTTTGCAATAAAGAAATGTGTTTTGGTTGTTTTTTTTAAGAGTTGAGCCTTTTATTTCTGACTGTTCAGCAGTATGAAAATATACCTTTATCTCCATAAGAAAAAAATCACAAAGTCAGGACTAAATGGCACCATGTTTTTCTGAACAGAAATCTGCAAGTTAAAATGTTTTTACCTCATTTTAAGACCAAATACCAATAAAACATTACTTTTTCTTGAATATAAAATATCAAAAGACCACTAATGGATTCAATCACCTTTATTAGCCTATCAATGTTACATTTTATACATAATGTCTAGTCATCTTCTCAGAAAACTCTACTTTAGTACATCACGTTATTAGTAAAAAGCCAAGTAAGATGATAAACCTCAACCTAGCATTTTAATATTCTCTGGACACAGAAGCTAGAAAGCCAATCACTTCACACACATTGAAGAATAGTGTTCCAAAAATAACTAGGAAGTTGCTATATTTTTAAGCGGGGACGGAAACAATTTTCATTTTGGTCTTTCATCATGTTCTAGCAAATTATATTTTCAATTAACAGCAACAATGATATCATAAAAATGCTCTGCTTTTTAATTTTGTGAACTTCAATACAAATTAAAATAAAATGGTATTGGAGTCTTTTGGGAGGCATTTAGCTATCAGCCATATTCATCAGTGTAGCTGAACCTTCTTATCGATAACCAGGTCCAGGCTGGGTATAGCCCTGACTAAAGGGGGGACGATTACGGGCATAAGGGTTAGGCCCACTTGGAGGAGGGGTCATGGTACTCCCAGGAGGTGTAGTAAAACCTGGCCTTGGTTGATAAGCCCCTGGTTGACTTGGAGCCATTCCAGGCTGAGAAGCAGGGGCCACTGTATAGTTAGTAGGCTGAGACGTTTGGGTAGTGTAAGTTTGTAGAGGATAACTGCTCGCATGGTACTGCTGTGGTGCTTGGGCAGACAGTTGTGGCTGACCAGAAAAGGCAGGTGCCGGTGCCTGAGAAGCTGGTTGTTGGCCATATCCTTGGAACTGCTGAGGTTGTTGAGGTCCAGTCTGCTGACTATAACTAGCTGAAAAGGCAAAATAAATAATGTATTTGTCTTATACCTCGTTATGGAGAATTAGCCTTACTGTTATGGACCAAAAATGATTAAAAATTTAATATCAGTTTACAAACATTTAAAAAGAGTAACAGATTCCAGTATAAAAAAAATTTCAAGACAAAGTAGTCATTAATGAGGCATTGCGTAGGTAATTTCTAAGAGCTCTAATCTTAAACTGAAATTACAATGTGTTTATATTTTCACCGTAACTGTTTTGAGAATATTGAAAGCCAATTCCTGTTCTAGTATAATTCCTTTCGTACACTAGAGGCTTGATGATAAATGAAAAAATAATTATAGTTTCTAGGAAGACCAAAAATGTAAAAGCTAAATAGTCGATCAGATTTCTGAGGAGACATCTTTAGCAGCACCAAATAAAGACACTGCAGAAATGAATACTTTTAAATAAAACAATACAAATACATATATACCAATGCAATGCTTTAAGGCTTATTCACTTTATAACATCTAAATCATTTAAGTATATATACTAAATACCACTTTCACAGTTCTCAGCATCTTTTTGTTGTTCTGCTTTAGTATCTGTTGATTTTGCCTTCACAAGAATATAACACACACACACACACACACACACACACACACACACCAAACCCCATTATTACTCCACAAAAAGCAACATCTATATTCATTATTAACTAGGATGTAATGTTCTTTATAAATAAAGTCTTCTCACTGAAAACTTTTATCTCTACCATGAAACACACCTGCAGCTACTTGCAATGAAACCTCTCCATTGACTGGAATCCTGTCAGCATTAAATACCAGATACATAAGACAATTATTAAAATATGTACAACCCTGCATTGAAAAATAAAAAGGATTGAATGAATTCGAGTATATTCTGAACTCACCTTGAACCTGGGTTCAAAATTTACTCATGAAAGAAACCTTTATGACATGGTCTATGAACAAAACTGGAAAAGGTCAAAGGGAAAACTGGCAAACCAACAGTGTCAAAGACAGTCCAATATTACCATCAGCACCACTCCAAGCAGAAAATTTAGTTACGAGTTCCAAATATCCCAAAGTCAAGTTGATGGGACTAGAGCAATCCTAACTATAAAGCTGATAATTTGAGAATTGATTTTTACTCAAAGACCCTGACTAAAATATTAAGAACAAGCTTAGTTATTAACAAATAAGTCAACTATCCAAATATTTTATTCACGGAAACATCAAAATACTGAACAAATATTAATTCATCATACAATTTTGAATGCCAAACAATTCCTCCTATCCTCTACATAAATCTTTTGAACTGAATTTTTACTATAGATATGTATTTTAAAAAAACACACATGAGCTAAACTTTATACTGAAAATGTCTATTCCATTCAGAGGAAAATAAAGAAAACGCTAAACTGTCTTTTCACCTTGGAAACTGAAATCTAAACTATCTTTTTAATGGAATCAGGAAACAAGTCCTTAATTATTGCTCAGAAGACACAATAACCCTAAGAGCTGAAGGTGCTATCTCATTAACATCCTAGTAGGTTTTTGATCACAATGTGGCGATGCTTTTATTGTATTAGTCCCCCTCTATTACCTATAAACAGAAAAATAAATGAATGATGGTGGTTGAAGCTTATCAGACAGAAACTTTTAAAATTAATAAGCTGCCTACATAAAGCCTAAAATACTTACTAGTCTAGATTGGAAATGCAAATAATATAGAGTGCTGGGTTGTGGTACAGCTCCTCCATTCTCAAGATTTAATGGCTACATGTCCTGTGAGAACTCAACAACTCTTTAAAATCCATTTACCTCATTTTAAAATGAGTGGGACAGATCAATAGACCCTAACCCTAACTGCACAGGACCTATGATTGTCTGAAAATAGCAAAGCTGCCAGACACCAGTAGCTCACAACTATAAATCTAGCTGAAATTAGTACTGCTGTTTGAAGCAAACCAGGGCAGAGGTATTTAAGAACCTCCATCTCAAATCAACCAGCAAAAAGCCAGGCTTTTGCAAGAGCTTCCTTGGATAAGTAATCTGAACCAGAGACATGGTCTTAGCATATAAACAAACAAATTCCCAATCAAATGAAACAAAGTCTATGAGACCTGAGCACCAAAAAGCTTCTTAGGTAGAGTCTGAAACACAGTGAGGACTGAAATAGGTCAGATGATAACTAAATCTTCAACACTAGTAATCTACTTACTAAAAATTACTCTCCCCAAATATACGTAAGATCTTCAGGTCTCAGCCTCCTGAGTAGCAAGGATTACAGGCATGGGCCACTGGTGCCCAACTCCTTCTATTTAACAACGTAACGATCAATCTAGCAACCATGAGTTTTATCACATCACAGGAAATAAAATCCAACAAAACTGTGATGTGTTAAATAAAGTACATCAAACTCTAATTAATGACAGAATTTTACAATCTAAGTTGAAAGTCATAAATTTTTTTGCTAGAGGGTTAAATTTACTCCTTTTCTACAAAGAACAAGTATTAAATATTTTAGGCTTTGTGGACCACACTATTTCTACAACTGGCCAACTCTGCCATTCAAGTGCTAAAGTAGCAACAGAAAACAGAAATAAAGGGGGACCACATGTCCTAATAAATTAAATTCAAAAAAAAGGTAACAGGGTAGATCATTTTGGACTCTCGGCTATGAATTGATGACTCCTACTTTTGCTAGTAACAAAAAACTTCATAAAAAACAAACCTTACAATTTGGACCGGGGGTAGAAGGTGGGGGGAAGTGAAGTTGTGGAGGGAAGTGATGGATGGTAGGGGGAAAACAAAGGAGGAAGCAACAATGCTTGGTAAGAAATGTACTTATTACCTTGCTCATGTAACTGTAACCCCTCTGTACAGTATTTTCACAATAAAAAACTTATTACAAAAACTTCATAAAGTAGAATTTGAGTAAGATTCAACTTATATAAATATTTTTGGGGTGAAGATACTGAAAGTGATGACACAGGTCAAGATGCATTGTACACATAAACTGCTTTGTTAAGAGGCAAAAAATTAAGTACATCAGCTAAAAATAAGATAAGTAAGGGAAGGTGGGTTGGAAGGGCCTGTGGGTGAAAATGTTGAAAGGGGTGACACTGTATTGAGTAAGATGCAACTGTATTCATAAACTGCTTTGGTGAATGGCAAGTCCTTTGTACAACCACTTAAATAAAAATATTCCAAAAAATAAAATGTTTATTGTAGCTGAGATTTTGATTAAAACACAAAAGATGATCACAAACTCTAAACATACATGTAAGTATTAAGTTAAAAATAAAGCTACATTAGACCATAATATCTAAATGCAGATAATCTCCAGTAGACAAGTGTAAGACAAAAAAAAAACAAGATACTTAGGAAATCTTATTTAAAGCAGAACTTCATGTTCTCAGTTGCTTAAAGACATTTTAAAAAATTTTAATGTGGGCTGGGAAAGTGGCTCAGTGGTAGAGCGCTTGCCTTGCATGCCTGAGGCCCTGGGTTCGATTCCTCAGCACCACATAAGCAAAAAGAAAAAAAGCCGGAAGTGGCGCTGTGGCTCAAGTGGTAGAGCGCTAGCCTTGAGCTGAAGAGCTGAGGGACAGCGCCCAGGCCCAGAGTTCAGGTCCCACGACCAGACAAAAAAAAAAAAAAAAAAAAATTTAATGTATGGACTATTATTGGTATTCCTACTTATTGTCTAGAGATTTAAAACGTCTAAGTAGCTTTATTTAGTAAGATCGCTTTTCCATGGGGAAAGAATTTATGTAAATGATGGAAAACCTTCCATTTTTCTCAGTGCTAAGTCATCCAAGTGGTTAAGCAGAACATATTAATTAATAGGTAGTTTTCCATTAAAGGTTTTTTTTTAATATGTTCAGGATTGTCTACTATAATGATGTCTTATTTGCCTACTGGAAAACTGAAATGTTAATTTACAGTAAAACATGTAAGTTAAATATAAAGAAAACAAATGTCATTTCTCCTAATAAATACTTAATACCTACTATGACAAGGTATTATAAGTACTTAAGAAGAAAACCTTAGTGAGTACAGAAATAGATAAAAATTCATTAGCCAACTCCCTTTCAACACCTGCTCACCTGAATACTGAATACTATATTGCTGAGGTGGCTGAGGTGGCGCCTGGGGCTGCTGTGCACCATAGCCAGCTTGTTGCTGGTACTGTTGGTACATCTGACCTAAAAAGGAAATTACAAGGAAAAGAGGTAGGTTTCACCTAGCACAATAAAATATTTTCAAGTATATACATTCTCTCTCCATGCAAGCATACAAATACAGTGAGTAACATCATCACACAAGCCAGGTGCTGGTAGCTCACACCTATAATCCTAGTTGCTCATAAGGCTAAGAACTGTGGACTGCAGTTTGACGCCAGCACAGGCCGGAAAATTCTGAGACTCTTATCTCCAATTAACCACAAAAAGACAGAAGTAGAACTGTGCCACAAGTACTAGAGCACTAGCCTTGAGCAAAAGAGCTCAGGAACAATGCTCAAGCTCTGAGTTTAAGCCCTAGCACTTGCAAAAACAAACAAACAAAAAAACCTCCACACATGCTTGTTAGCCTTTAAATATTATTTAGATATCATCCCAATGTGTAAGATTAAAACTCCATATAGTAGACAATTGTCATCAATAACTTAAGAATTTACCCTCACGAAGGAGGAGGCTGCAATGCTTGATAAGAAATGTACGCATTATCCTGCCCATGTAATTGTAACCCCTCTGTACAGTATGATCACAAAAAAAAATTAAATTAAAAAAAAAAAGAATTTACCCTCAAAAAGCCTTATTCTCTGCAATAAAAACATACAAATACAACTCTTAAATTGTATTTGGTGTATTTTCTTAAACTGCTACAAACCCATCTTGAAAACTAACACTCTTAGGGATAGAAGTTTCAGAGGTTTATTTCTCTCTCTCCAAAATAAACCTTTCACTTACGTGTATGTGTATGTATGTGTGTGTGTCTGTGTGTTGATCTCTAATAACTAATATTCATTCAATGAACAACTATGAAAGTATCACCACAGAACTATAAGATTCTATTCCAAAAGTAGTCACTGAATTTAGGCTATTGAGGTTTTTGGGGTTGTTTTAATGTAACTGATAACCTCTTCTTTCTGATGCTGAAAATTTATCATACTACCAACTTGATATTTTATACAAATAGTTAGAGCACCACCTGGTGTTAGCAATTTTAAAGTGTAATGTGTAGTTTTAAAGGTCCTAATATGCATGGCATTTCACAGAAGTAACATCACAGTATCAGGTGGGAATACGAGACCAAGGAAGTCCTCAGCCACGTTGTATAGAGTTTCAAGGGTTTCCATGAAGCACCTTTGCTGATGTCCTAAGCTTGTCGTTCCTCACCCTACTTCAAATATAGCAATGACCCCTACAGTGAGTTTAAATACTGAGCTTTCAAATTCATAGTCCAAAAAATTTCCACATTTTTAGTAACTAACCTAGAGACCAAAATTAGTTTATCCAAGGTCACATTGCTTTGAGAAGAAAATTTTGACTTCAAATGTTCTGCCATTGTTCATTAAAGTCACATTGCTAACTATACAAAAATTGATACTAAAATTATGTTTATCTCTACTGTAAAATCATTTTCAATTACAAAAACAGTAATGCAGTTTCAGAGGTGGGGGATAAAATAGGACCTAAGTATTCTACAAAATGAAGTGTGAATTTGTCTTTCCTAATTTCACTTTTCTACCGAAATGTTACCACTGAGTAGTTAGTGGCATGAATTCTTGTTGATCTCTCACTTGGGTGTTATTTATATTTACTTAAGTAGTTTTCTAAGGTTTTTATTTATTTCCAATTACCAGAAGCAAATCTGATAAACTGTTCTGTTTCTATAATACCCAATCATGCCAGGTCAGTAAATCAAAATCTTCCACAGCTGTGTTCACATCATTACTACATACACAAGAGAACTCCATTACCAATAATGCTTCAAGAAACAGTTTAGTATACGCACCTTCCCACACAGCTCAGTTCTATTCCACCTGCAGTCTGACTTGTATCTGACTTGACTTGTATGTAAACTGTTGAGGCTGACTTCCTGGTGGATGAGTTTAGTATACACACCCTCTCATGCATGGCTCTATTTTACCTTCAGTCTGACCTGCTTGTGCCTGAGCTGTTGTGTATGGAGGCTGTTGAGGCTGAACTCCTGATGGGTGCGCCGCTGAGGAGGAGGAAGCAATGCTGTCAGGTGTTCCTGAACGGTCTTCTGTAGGAGCACTGGGTGGTCCTAGATAATCATGAAGTCAATTTAGCACTTTATTTAATGTCATTCCTCAGTAAGCTCAAATAAAGACTAAAAACTAAGTACCAGATCACTAGTAAGAGACTAAAAATTGCAGAACATATGCGACGAATTAAATTAAATCAATACACTTTCATTTTGTCCTCTGCTCCAGTCTCAAGAACCCAAAGTTACAACTGGAAATGCTTCACTATCAGGTGGAATGCTAAATCTGGTGTACTAATCCACGCCTTGACAATACCAAAACTCTGATCTGCAATGCTAATATTCTTGTCCAATGCTATCTATTTTGCAGATGAACCAAAACTATCAACTTCATCCTCTAACAGGTTCCCACTGCCCATAAATTAAATTCAATCTCACTCCCAAACTATTGAAAGATCCAAACATTTCTCACATCTTTTATATTCCCCTCCTTAACATATGTTATCTATCCCTAGTCTTACAATATATCTAACAATTTTTGGCATTTATTTATTACTCTTCCCTCCATCATATATTTTAAATATGACATTCCTTAAAATAGTTGTAGAATCCCACACTTCTAGTAAAACTGTCTAACCTATAAATTCTTAGACGGGAGCCGATGGCTTATGCTTTGTAATCCTAGCTACTCAGGAGGCTGACATCTGAGAATCACAGTTCAAAGCCAGCCTACGCAGGAAAGTCCGTGAGACTTATCTCAAGACTCTTATCTCTAATAAACTTCCAGAAAACTGGAAGTGGTGCCGTGGCTCAAGTGGTAGGGCACTAGCCTTGAGCTGAAGAGCTGAGGGACAGCATCCAGGCCCAGAGTTCAAGCCTCATGACCGACCAAAAGAAAAAAAATGCTTTATTGCATCATTAATTTCTACATACTTTGCTTTTATTATGACCCAAATGGTCTTCTCATTATTTCTAAACAGCTCCCTCTTTCCACCTTCGATTATGAGTTCTTTTCTATGGTCATACTCCTGATTTTTTTTTTCTGTTAAGATTCATAAAGCCTAGCAGGCTAATCTACACATGCAGCCACAAATTCTTCCAGGATAATAAAGGAGTGAATGAGAAAAATCTTTTATAGTTCCAATACTATGGCAATCAAGGATATTCTAAAGATAGGTCTTTCTCCAAGATATTTTTGTATAAATAACACAGATGAATTATACAGGTTCTGGATTCAAATTACTTCAGTCTGAATTCTAGTGCTGACAATATGAGCCCTAACTCTGGGCATATTCTTATTCTCTTCCTATGCCTCAGGTTCCATGTCTATAAAATGATATGATTGTTCTTACTTTATAAGGTTACTGTATGCATTGAAGATAGGTTATAGAAAATGCTTGTAAAAATGATTGAACAGCAAAGATTTTAAAGGGGTTCCATGTTAAGTACTTGCTATTAGCAGACTAATTTCTTGAGAGCAAAACTTCATCTCCTCCATTAGTACATTCTCAGAAACTTTTAGAACCAAAATGTCCCCAATATCCCATGGTTTTAGGCTTCCGGGAAGTGATAAGGACATGGATTAATCCATTAATGAGTTCCTAAATCTAATGGGCGATTGAGAGGTGATAGAAAATTTAGGAGTGGGCCCTGGTTCTTGATTCTTTTTGTCAGATTCATAAAGGAATAGTATCTTGTCCATGGCTCCTAGGCAACTTTTGTTTCCTAACTACCATTAGGTGAGCAACCACCTCCTTCTCCAAATACTCATGCCACCATCATTTTCTTCCTTACATCAGACCCAAGTACTAAATGGAACCCACTAGACTATGTACTGAAACCATGAGCAAAAAGAACAAAAAACAAACACCTCTTCCCTTTTCAATTGATTTTCTTGGTATTTTATCACAGTAACAGAAGCCAATGAGAACCTAAACTAGATTATAGTAATGGTAATGCAGGAAAAAAAGTTACCAGAAAAAAATGAGTAATGGTTTCTATTATTTCACCTCTACACAGAAAAAGACACATAGATATTTCCCCTACAGAAGATATTATACTATTAGCCTAAAAGTATCTTTTACTTGTTCTTTTTTCCCTAAAATAAATTATTTTTAATACTCAGCCTATTTTTTGTTAATACTTTATCCCTTCTTCTCATTTCTATATTTTCTGTGCTATCTAAGGTTTTCACCACATCTTACTGAAGAACTGCAAAAGTACCCTGGTTGTTGTTGTCTATGTACATGCAGTTTTCCTTACTATAAATCAACACACAAAGAAAGCTACTAGAATGCTGCTAACCACAACCCAAGGCAGTGTAACATTACCGGGCCAAAGGAAATTAGAAAAGGCAGAGATAGAGAGGTAAGAGATGAGAAATAAGAATCAGAGGGGACTATGGGTCCCAAGTCTCTCTCGCACTTGGGCCCCAAGTCCCACAAACAAACATATTTATTTGAGTTCACACAAGGAAGGTTACCATGGATACATGTAAAACATAAGCCATTTATATCAATACTACAATCAGAGCTAAAACAGAGTTTGTGAAAGACACTAGTTTCCTTATTCTTTTGAGACAAGAGAATGCTGCCCAGGGAAAGTCTAGACATGATACCCACTTATCTAATCCAAGGTTAAGCTGTGAAGATCTTTTGTCTAGCCTCAAGGTCCCAGGACAGCTGCTAGCCTAAGGAAAGGGGTGGGGAGAGGCACCCCTCTCTCCAGAGCTGTCTGTTTTAACGCTTCCATGGCCAGCTCTCAGTGTTCTGAGTGGTGTAGAGGCAGCATTCCAACCTCTCAAACCTTTTCTAGGTTTTACAGCTCAGCTTCAGAGTTCCCAACACTATAAAAAAAAATGGCCTTCAAGTAATGTGAATGACAAGTAATATGAACCTATTGTAGCATATACTATATTTAAATAAGGTATTTCAAACAATCACTTTTCTCCCCAGAATTTCATACAAAACTCCTTAGTGAATAATCCGATAAAAATCTCAACATTAAGGGCCTTCTTTACTAAAGCAATCTAAACAGAAATTTGTTTACTTTCAAATTTCTGTAAGAAAACATAGCAAGTTTAACCTAAATCTTGCAACAAATCTGAAGATTACAAATTTGTATATATTTTTAAACTTTATTATTTCTTTTAATAAAGTTTACTTAAAGCAAACAGCAGTTATTGAGGAGGATGCAACTGACTAGGAAAGGGTAAAAAAAAAAAGATCCCTGGGGTATTGAATCATCAATCTTGGATTTAGTCAGTTTGTGTTGTAAGTACATACATAGAAAAATATATTGAAGGAATCCTGAAGATTTGTATACTTCATAATATCCAGTTGTTTTTTTGTCAGTTGTAGGGCTTGAACTCTGGGCCTGGGCACTGTTCCTCAGCCTTTCAGCTCAAGGCTAGTGTTCTACCACTGGAACCATAACACCACTTCTGGTGTTCTTGTTGTTAATTGGAAGTAAGAGTCTCATGAACTTTCCTGCCTGGGCTGGCTTTGAACCATGATCCTCAGATCTCAGCCTCCTGAGTAGCTAGGATTACAGGCATGAGCCACTGGCACCCAGCTACCCATTATTTTTCAATAAAGAAGGAAAGAAAAGAAGGTAGTAATGATGAAAAGGAAGTAGGGACTAACTTACCTGAAACCTGATCATCCGTTAAACCAAATGCTGACATGACATTTTTGTTGATTTCATCTTGGTTTTTCAAAGGATCAAAAGCTGACATACTTGCTGCCATAACTTGAGTAGACTGCTTTCCAGAAGAATCAGAAGTCGCAGACTTTTCTTCCCTACCATCCACAGCATCTGTAAGATTACAGGAATAAGAAAAAACTTATTTCTATTTTATCTATACTCAACGAAGTCTAAAACCCAAGGCAGGCGGATATATATGTACACAATATTATCTGGGAAGTTAAGAACAAGGTGCTATAATCCTAGCTACTCAGGTCTCAGCTGAGACCTAGACAATCAATGGTCAAGAGCAGCCTCAGCAGAAAAGTTCTCAAAACTCCATCTCCAATTAATCAGCAAAAATAAACATAAAAATAAATAGCCAAAGTGAAGGTGTGATTCAAATGATAGAATACCAGTTTGGAACAAGAAAGCTCATTGTTGAGTGTGAGGTACTGAGTTCAAGCTGTGGTACACACAGAGGCACACACATACACACAGAGGCACACACATGGAAAGCAATATATGCAAACAAAACATAGGAACAATAAACCATCCAAAAATGAACTCAGTGTATACCATTATCAGGAATACTGGTAGAAGGTCCTGGTTCTCCAGGTGGCTCCAAGCTATCCAACAAGCGATTTACTTTATTTCGAAGTTCAATCAGCTCTCGACGCAGATATTTTACCTGACTTGATTCAAGGGGTCTTGGTTGGCCATTAACTGAAATAAGAACAGTAATTTGCTTAAACTTAAAGAGATGTTCTTGTGTATCAACAAAAAATGAAATCAGGAAAAAGTATAACAACTTTAAAAACTACCAAAATGAACTCTTAAAAATCACAAAATCAAACAAAATACCTATTGGTGTCATTTGAGTCTTTTTTTTACTAACAACTTAAAAAAATTCCTGTCTTTATGTTAGATGAGTTTATTGACTACAGTAGTAAACAGTTTACTAGAACTTAACTATAATAAATTAAACTAACAAGGCTCTATTTTAATGGAAACTACTTTAAATAGAAATTATGGAACCTTTTTTCATGAACTAGAGTTTTCACTCAAAACTCCACTACTTCAGCCATGCCACTGGCCCTTTTTGCAGTCTGTACTGTAATCATCCTACTTATGCTTCCATGTAACTGGGATTATGGACATGAGCATGTGTACCTGATTCTGAAACAATGCATTAAAACATCTAATCTACATGTAAATTTTAATCCACAATTCACTATAAGCCCCTTTACCTACTTTTGACTTAATCCATATTAGCTGATCTAAACAGTAATCCATTAAATGAATCTACATCAAAACTCCTTTCAAGGCAGATGATTCAAGAGGCAAATATCAGCCATATAAATGTTTTCTTGCCAGGTGCTAGTGGCACACAACTGTAAGCCCAGCTATTCAGGAGGGTGAGATTTGAGGATCACAATTCGAAGCCTGCCTGGGCAGGAAAGTCCATGAGACTCTCACGTTCAATAAACCACCAAAAAAGACAGAAGTGGAGCTATGGCTCAAATGGTGGAACACTACCCTTCGGCAAAAAAGCTCAGGGACAATGCCCAGGCCCTGAGTTCAAGGCCAAGGATAGGCACCAAGAGAAAAAAAAAAAAGAAAGGAAGAAAAGAAAAGAAAATCCATTTCCAGCTTGCCCAATCCTCAGATTTCAGCCTCCTGAGTATCTACAATTACTCTACCTTATGTACCTGGACAACAGTGGTTATTTTACATTCAATACCTTTTTTAAAAAAATTAAATAGGTTCAGATATTAACATTATTAAGCCATGTTTCATGAGATGAAAAAACATTAAATTAATAGGTCCTGATGACATTTCATTATACATTAAGGTTCAGCAAAAAATGCAAAAATAGCTGGTGCTGGGGGTTCATGTCTGCAATCCTAACTACTGAGATCTGAGAAACGTGGTTGAAAGCCAGCCCAGGCAAGAATGTTCATGAGACTTATCTCCAATTAATCACCCACACACACAAAACAAAAACAAAAATACTAGAAGTAGAGCTATGGCTCAAAGTTATAGAGCATTAGCCTTAAGCAAAACTGCTCAGGGACAGTAGCCAGGCCCCTGAGTTTAAGCTCCATGACTGACCCCCCCCCCAAAAAAAAAACCAAACCATCAGACATCACCCAAAAAGTATATTTTTACATAATCATGTCACTTTTTGTTTTGTCGTTCACGGGACTTGAAGTTAGGGCCTAGGTGCTATGCCTGAGCTGTTTTGGATAGCACTCTACCACTTTGAGTCACAGTTCAACTTCCTACTTTCTGGTAGTTAACTGGAGATGAGTTTCATGGGCTTTCCTGTCTGGGGTTGGCTTTGAACTGTGATCATCAATCTCAGCCTTTAAGCATGTAGCTAGGATTAAAGGAATGAGCCACTAACACCTAGATATCATGCCGCTTTTTGTAATCATTTCTACCATCTCTGTTAAACACTACCATGTAAATTTACTGGGTCTAAGATCTAAAAGATTGAAAAATCACATGCGCTCTTATCAAAATTATCTTTAGTCTTTAAAAACTAATATATAAAGTATCAAGCTTATAGATCAGGCTATGAGAATAAGTAGAGGATAATTATAAACTTTAAAAACACAAAGGTAGTTTTAATCCTGTAACTATTTTTACTCTAATACACCGACACAGTGGCATATATTACTATTTAGGGTAAAAAAATTAGACATAGAATTTATAACATGTCCACTTTTCTAGACTAATTTCTCCAAAAAACACAAACGGCCCAAAAATTCTATGACTAATTTAAAACTAAAATACTCTATTATGGATATCTAAGTTATATCTTATTTGAAAAATAATCTTAACTATTCTCACTGAATTAAAGCTTTTATCATTTTCTTAAAATAAGTCATTAAGTAATTTAAAACCCACTCAAATGAAATTAAGTAATTTTAAAATATGTTATCACTTGACTCTCAAAGGGACAAACGCTAAAAAAAGTAATAATAATAAAATGAACAATAAATTTATAAGAAAATTTTCCACTTACCAAATAATGTCAGTTTCAGTATCCTACTACATTGAATTGCAAAGGAAAGGTCAGAACTATCAAAAATTGTTATAAGATCTCCATCTGGAATGAAAAATTTTAAAAATGTTTCAGATTTGTAACAACAGTAAATTAAGGCATACATAAATTTTAAAACTGCAGTGTAAATTGTTGAGCATAATTGCAATCTCCCACAAAACTTTAAACATTAAAGGATTATTTAGGAAAGATATATTTGTTGTAAAAAATACTAAATCAATTTTGCTTATTACTCTTATAGAGGGAAAATCATAAAACAATAACTCAGGCTTGCAAAAAAGGTTTTGCCTAAGTGCATAATGAAAGCAGTGTATTATTTCATGTTACTGACCATTCTGATAGTAAGATGAAAACTATCAACCCTCCTTGGAGAAGTATTTTTATACATATAAAAAATAGTGCCTATTGAACATTGAAATCCCCTATATCCCAGACACAAAGAATAGTACAATTAGCTTATCAACTGCATGATTCAAAGATTTCAAAAGTCTAGGAGAAAAAAATACTCTCTAGAGAAAATAAAAACAGAAAAGGTATCACAGACAAGAAGTTGGTCAGAGTCCTCTGCAGAGTACTTTCAAACAATTGGGTGAGTTTTGTTCTTGGGAGGCCAAGCAGCTAGCTGCTCAATGAAGCTATGTTACACTCATTCTATAACTGACTAAGCAGGTTTCACTTTGAACAAAACCAGCAATAGAGGCTGCAACTGAGTACTTCATAATTGTTTTTTGTTCTAACTATACAACCACTTCCTTGTAACATACATGTCTAATGTTCAACTAATTCTCAAGCATTCCACTCAAGCACATTTTTAAGAATCCTGAATCCTGTAACAGAAACAAAGTTCTCTGACAGCAGAATTTTTGCCTGAGCAAATAAATGCAATGCAAACTATAGAAAACAAATATGTACATAGGACATTTTTCAAAATGGTATGAAAAAGAAATATGATGTGGAAGCTAGATATAGAGGACAAAATTCAGCAGTGAGCATAAACCAAAGCTAAGTATCTACAAACTGTATACAATGGATCTGCCCCTGATTTTACAGAACTGTGAATGAAAATGAACTTTACATTTTTTAAGAAGTTGTGAAAAGGACAAATTGTGTTGAGACAGAGGCTTTATGTGATCCATGCAACTACAATTTTCTGATCCTTTATCAAAAAAGGGAGTTGGGAGAAAGTCAATGAGATCAGCTTGAGATAAGCTAGGTTTGAGGCAAGAACAAATTCTCTCAGTGACATAAAAGTGGCCCCTCAACTACCATGGGAGGAAGAGCCAATCCAATTAAAAATGGGCAAAAGAACACAGAAGAGACTTTAAAAATATTTTTACTAAATATTAGGGACTGACCCCTATACTACTAGTTAATTGGGAGGTGAGATCAGTAGGCTCATGGTTTGAGGATAGGCAAGGCAGAAAAGTATAAAAATGCCTACTCAACAGTAGCTTGGCAAAATGGCATGTACCTGATCCTAGCTACATAGGAAGCTGAAATGAGAAGAATCAGGATTTCAGGCTAGCCTGGGCAGAAAAGTCCTGCAGATTCCATCTTAATGGAAGACTAGCATGGTAGCACAAACCTGTCATCCTAGACATGGTATGAATCCATACCATAGAACAAAAGGATCACAGCACAGGCTTACATATGGACATGAATGAGACCAATCTCATAAATAACCAGCACAAAAAAAGGCTGGAGGTGTAGAGCACTGACCTATCAAGCTCAAGGCGCTGGCTCCAAAGTCAGTACCTAAAAACGAAACAAATTTAAAAAAAATCTTCTCTTACCTTCATCTTTATACTTTATTGTAACTTCATCATTACTGAGAAGTTTTCCTCTGAAAACTCTTTGCATCATTAGCACTAATTCATCATAAGTAATATCTTCATTATGAATGGGAATTCGACGAATATCTTCCCCAAGTTGAGCTTTGATAATTAGCTTTCCACTTAGGTCCAACTGTCCATTCATGGTGGACTCCAGGATGGTCTATTTACACAACTCTAGGAAAACACTGGTAAAAAAAATATTTTCAATGATTAAAACACAAAATATATTAAAACTTGAATGCAGAGATAATATTAAAAAAAAATTATGGCCTTCAAAAGAGTCATTGGCCCAGTATTACCCTATTTACGTTAAACAGTCTGGAATATGGTAGGAGTTCGCTATTATTTCTACTATTATTTTACCAACACTTAACTGCATTTAGACTTCTGACTTGTCTCAAATTCCTGATGTTTGTGCCCCTAAACCTTCCTCTCTAATAGTTTTGCCAGTGTTCGTAATAAGCCTTTTTCTGACATCTTACATCCAAACTGCCCACAAATCTGGTAGCTGTAACTATTAAAGTATCTTGGAATCCAACCAACTCAGTATTTTTCACTGCTATCAATAGACTTGACCCATTTATCTAAATTATTACAAAACACTTAACTGGTCTGCCTGCTTTTCACACTGGCTCACTTTTGATAGTCTCAACATACCAGAGTTACCCAGTTAAATAAAATCTAATGTGTGGTCCAAACCTCCAATAGATTCTCATTTCTAAAAGCAAAGCCTACAAGGTCATGATCTAGCCTGGAGCCCAAGGCCAGTATTTAACTTCATCTCCTATTTCTTTTCCTTATCCATCTTGGTATATCAATGCTCAAAGTTCTTTCAACTCAAGGCTTTGCACTTGTCTTTGCCTTGAACTCTTTTTCATACCCTTCACATGACTCAGATCCCTAATCAATAGCAGAGGTCTTCCTTACCTAATTTAAAATGGCTCTCCTGTCACCATCTTTTTACCCTGCTATAATTTTAAGACATTTAACATTATCAGCATTAAAACATTATTTTTATCATCTTTTCCACTAGAAGGTAAGAAGTGTTTGACTGCTTTATCCTCAGAGCCTAGAAAAGTGTCTCACATACCTGACAGTTATTCAAAAAATACTAGCTTCAAAATGTCAACCCTGCTGCTAACCCTGGAAACATATATGAACAGGAAAACGGAGCTCCATATTTTTCTCTGTAAAATAAATACATAAATACATTTTCTTATTTCCTACTTGGGGAGTTGAGAAGACAAATGATTATACTCAAGTGTTCTAACAAAGCTATCCACTACGTAATTCCATTATCATCCCTATCCAACCCACCTTGATCAGAATGAGTATGTTTGAGTGGACTGCACATTTTCTACTGAATTTTCCCTTCTCAAGTTGTAACTTCATCTTATTTCAGATTATTCGGTATGTCTATACTATAATGACTATAATCTTAAATTCAAAATATTATTCATGGTCTGTAATAACTTAAAATTTTCACTACAAAATAGTGACGAATATAGTTAGGACCTAAGAAAGGGTTAATTTTTCTTCTGAAGACCAAGTAGTTCCTGAATGTTGTTAATCTGTGATCACTGAGCATTTCCTTACCATCACCTAACTGTTCTGCCCCAAGCAAAGGATCTCTCAAGGCTGTTTAACCTAACCTACAACCTCCTACTGGGAACATTTTGGTTTCAACCTGCCATTTGGACTACAACTATCTTTTGTTTCTTAAATTTTTATGTAATCTACATCAGCACACTTCTCCACAATTAATTTATCCTTCTCAGGCATGTTTAAAAGCACTCACCTGCCTCCCAAACTCTTCAAATCCTGGAACTGTTTTTATGAACTAATCTCTTCACAACTATTATATCTAAGTAAATGTTCTAATATTCCTCATGTAAATTCTGCTGATCCTTTCATCTATTCCTTAAGTGAATATTCTAGACTTCTTCACTATCTTCTAGTCAGCTTATGTTTTAATAATAAATGAAATAAATGAGAAATATCTATTGCACCTGCTTTGTATATTTGGCATATACTTGGTATGTCATTTTGATGGAGTTGGGGTTCTCAGTTCTAATGGGCCTACAAACAAGTTCTACCATTATCTGCCATGTCTACCTGCAAACTCCATTTTGGTGTTCTTAATAAGTATCCTTTGTTCTTTCATAAGGCTGTCTCCAGTTTTGTCATCTTCTGCTCAAGGTAAATACACAAATACCACAAAAGTGTGCAACTAAATTTTCACTCTTAGGGAAAATCCTTCTAGGCAGAGAGCAGTATGAACAAGAATTCCTAGACATTTTCTTCTAGTCCCTGCCCTACGTACTCCCTTCCAAGTCCAGAAGTGACTCAGCCACTAACTGACATTCCAACCAGGACAATTTCCTGGGTACTGGGAATACACTGGCATGCCCAAAGACTGCCATTTTGCACTGCCATCCAGGTTCATCTAGTTCCATTCAACCTAAGGAAAAACCCTAATCAAACTCACAAGCTGTTACTTAGGCACGTCTTGGAGTTGGCAGTTTCCTTCAAGAAATCCTAATACAAAAACACCCTTGAAGATTCAAAAGAACGCAAGAGGTCTCAAAAATTGCCCTGCCCAGGGGCACAGACTGTTAATCAAGATAAAAAGATTTGCACTGTTTGCTGTGTGACCTTAAGTCCTCCAAGGCTCGCCTTTATGGATGCAAAATGGGAACAGTATCGAGATTTGTAGGGGTTCTTGTGACACTTGAGATGGGACTCTGTCTGAGTCTATGGTATTTGATAACAGTGCTCACAAAAGTAAACTCTTCAAAGGTTAGCAATCGTCGACAATGTAAAGAGTTGGGGCATTGGATTACGCAACCGAGGAAAGTGGTTCTTTCGTCTCCTGGGACCCCAATCAGCTGAACCCCACCGGGGCCACCCTTCTCAGCACCCCCCCAATCCCTCCAGGGGTTAGGACCCGATCATTAGAGGCCTCCCCCGAGTTCCTCATCTCTCCCTCTGGCAAGCCATCCTTCTAGGGTCAGACCCCACCGAAGTTGGGGGAGCCTCCTCCAGGCCGCCGGTGGAGAGCGGCCATCGCCTCCTTTCCCACCCCTTTCCCCCCTCCCCGAGAGGCCCCGTCCCACCTCCCGGCCCTCCCCGCCCCGCTAAAGCCCCCACCACCACACCCCCACCCCACGGTGCGGGTCGGCCCGGGCGCGGCCTCCCCAGCGCCTGCCCGTCCCCCGGCCTCCCCCCGGGCGGCCCGGGCCCCAGCGGCCTCACCAGCCTGCAGAGGCCGCCGCCTCGACGCGGGTCTCCGCTGCCCCCGGCGCCGCAAGGCCGCCGCCGCCGCCTCTGGAGTCGAGGGCGTCGCGGGGAGGCTGCGGACAGGACCCGCTCGGTTACGTTCCGCGGCCGCCTCACCAGCTCGAAAGCTCATGTAGGCCCCGACCAATCGCACGGAACCGCCGAGCCCAGCGACAGCCCGGGCCCAGTACGTGGCAGGTGGGGGAAGAAGAGGGGCGGGAAGAAGAGAGAAAGAAAAAAAAGTCCTTCCGCCCCGCCCCAAGAAGAGCGGACTCGTCCAGAGCGCATGCGCAGCAGCGTGAGGCGAGGTGGCTGGAAAGGACTGGCTTGGTCCGGCGAGGGCGCCTGGCTTCCGCGCTGGATGACCGGGCGTAGGAAGTAGGCGCCGAGCTGTGCGCACGCATGCGCGGGGCGTGACCGGCACTTCCGGTGTTCCTGAAAGCGGCGCTTTCCCGTCTGTCGCCCGTGGGCGGGGCGTAGTCTGCGGCTCGGGACTTTTTCTTCTGAGCAGGCGCGTGAAGAAGTGAGCGTCGTCCGCGTTTTGTGGTTGCGTTTTGGGTCTCTGTAATTCAAATAGTCAGATCTCTGAAAATACTAACGCTGTCTCTGCGTCTTTCTGCCAATCCATCCACTCATTCATTCATGCTCGGGCGCCCACGCGGTGCTAGCATGCATGGTGAGATGAATCAGCTCCGGAACCAGGCGATTCCCACACGGAGGAAAAGCCACAGCGTTTAGAGACAACGGGGCTGGGAAGTTGGCCCAGCGGTAGAGCGCTTGCCTCGCATGCCTGAGGCCCTGGGTTCGATTCCTCAGCACCACAGAAGCAAAAAGAAAAAGCCGGAAGTGGTGCTGTGGCTCAAGTGGTAGAGCGCTAGCCTGAGCTGAAGAGCTGAGGAACAGCGCCCAGGCCCAGAGTTCAGGCCCCACGGCCGGACCCCGAAACAAAACAAAAATCTCTGTGTGTGCACAACACAAAGGCCAATAGACTAAAATTAGGGATTCCAGAAGACTTTTAGGAAATGGCCTTAGCATTTGAATATGCCCTTCTGGAACAACAGATGAGATCCACCATACCCGAGAATGACGGTTGTCTTCTCTTTAGATAACTAGGAAAGAGACACTGACTTTTAAGTCTTCCCACTGCTGAGAAATAACCTGGTTCCTGTTAGATGTGGACTGCGCGCTAGCTTAGCGAGGCATCCGTGGAGGCCAGGGCTTGTAGACTAAAAGCAGCTTGAAGTTCGGTATGTTGTAATTATTACCTCATGATTCAGTCTCAAGGTTAAAAACTTATTTCCAGCTACCCCTGAGGAAACTGAGAGATGAGCTTGTGGTGATTCCCTCAGGTTAAAAGCAGACTCAGGAGAGATAAAGCAACAGATCAGATGCTCAACTGGCATGTCTTCAGAAAGTGCATCTATCCAACAGGCATACCCCAGGCATATAGTTATATATGCACATGCACACACACATATGTATGTAAAAATATTCTGCCTTCTATTCAGCTGGAAATAGGTTTTCAGTGCTATGATTGCACATGAAGCCTAGGTTTTCCAGGTGATCTTTAAATGTCATAGGAGAGCATAAACAGGTGATCACATAAAGCCATCTGGTTTTGCAATATTACACTTGTTAAGAAAATGGAGGAGAAAGGAAAGAAACAGGCCCAACTCGATCTTCCACAGGTGAGGACTGTTTATTGAAACAACAGTGAGGGACACAGACCTTTCCCTGGGTATGGAGATGGGGGGGGGAGAGAAGGGCAGAGTTTGGAATCAAGGTTTTTACAGAGTCTAAGCAAGGAGAACAGGTTACATGAGTTTAGTATGGGGAAAAGGGGTGACTGCCTGTGCAGGCAGAGACTAGGGTAAGTATTCCCTTTTCTGAGGTCTCAGGCTTTTTGATGTTCAAACAGCTCTACATCTGTCTTGCCTAGACTGACATTCACAGGATACAGCTTATAGTCTTCCAACCTTTTGTTTGTTTGTTTGTTTGTTTTGGTCGTGGGGCTTGAACTCTGGGCCTGGGCGCTGTCCTTCAGCTCTTCAGCTCAAGGCGAGCGCTCTACCGCTTGAGCTACAGCGCCACTTCTGGTTTTCTGGTGGTTTATTGGAGATAGGAGTCTCACGGTCTCTCCTGCCCGGGCTGGCTTTGAACGGCGATCCTCAGATCTCAGCCTCCTGAATAGCTAGGATTACTGGCGTGAGCCACCAGCGCCCGGCCTCTGCTTCTCTTTTTATCCAAGGATCTTGG